GGGCCAAATTTATCTTGAGATCAACATTGGTCACTCGTATACCGTATGTCACCTCGTGGCCTTTCTAGAATGGTGTAGTTTGCTTCTTTGGATGCATAGCTCAGCACAAGTCAACAAATTGAATAGTGAATAGTGCACGCCGCCATCCTACTTCCACAACACTTCACAGAGTGCGCCACCGATCCTTAATAGTGGCACACTGAAGAATATCAATAGTGGCACGGAGTGGCATTTTTGGCGCAATTGTCACTATTACTCAGGCCTGCTCATGTATTACTAAGATATTTGTATATTGGGATTGAAGAACCATATCATTGTTGCAAATGATGTGGTTACAAGTTTTACATGTGACAACTTGTTAGGCATCATACTTTGAAAGTGTATATCGTACGCAATGTACATTGGCTCATTCTAGAAAAGAGATTTTCAATGGGAAATGGTAAATACATCAAGACCGTGACACTCAAAGGTATCAAAGGGTTGAAAGAAACAGACCTAGGAAAAGAGATTAAAAATTAACCTTAGCTATTGCCGAGAGCACTAGAACTATGACTTATGATGTTCCTTATATAAGAACCTAAATCTAATGAACCTAAATGGAAAATGATAAATACATCAAGACCGTGACACTCAAAGGTATCAAAGGATTGAAAGAAACAATACAAGCCAAACATCCACAGACCTAGGAAAAGAGACTAAAAATTAACCTTAGCTATTGCCGAGAGCACTAGAACTATGACTTATGATGTTCCTTATATAAGAACCTAAATCTAAATGAACCTATATGGAAAATGGTAAATACATCAAGACCGTGACACTCAAAGGTATCAAAGGGTTGAAAGAAACAATACAAGCCAAACATCCACGGACCTAGGAAAAGAGACTAAAAATTAACCTTAGCTATTGCCGAGAGCACTAGAACTATGACTTATGATGTTCCTTATATAAGAACCTAAATCAGAAGTCACTAGTTGTAATTAAAAAAATAAACATTCTCCACATCTATTTTATGGGCTAGTCTAATTTCTTCATATCTAGAACATGTAACAAACACATGCTTTTCATATTCAATCTTTCTTCCGTCACACAACTTACAAATACCTTCACTCCTATCAATATTGAGTCATCATACTTTCTCAATACCAAGCCTATGAGATCCAATATTGTGTATAACAATAATATGACGTAAAACCGTAGAGATATTCGCAAGTAGTTATTCTTATACAAAGTATACAAATATATGATTAACATGAAGTTGATAAAACTGCAAATTGATGTCTAGTCTATTCCAATTAATGGTGAGAAATTGATCATTGCAGAGTGACATTGGTTGCAATTTCTAATTGCATTCCACCACATTTCATTTCAAAGACCAAGTTACCACATCCGCTAACCATCCAATGGAACGTGTGGCACGCAAAGCTGGAAGAGTAAATCAAGAAACATCTCAACATTCTGATGCAAGTGAAGGTCAATTAAAGAGCTTCACACTCTAGAGGTAAACAACATTTTTCCGAAGTATAATAGCATGTGGAGAGAGAGTGGATGATAAATCATGATGAGTTTAGAGTAAATTTTCACTAAGGAAGGTATAGTAATATAACAAACATATGCAAAGGGATAATTTCATTTAGCTTATTTTTAATTATACATATATACTTTGACATATTTCTAATCGAATATTCCAGTGGCAAATTATATAAGTATATTAATAATTTTCACTTTGATTTACAATTTTATCAAGAAAAAAGTCTGATACAAATATCACAAATTGGTATCTGTTAGTCCATCAAGTTATATCCACAGCATTTGAACCATAAAGTGTTAATATAAACTTACATAAGAAATCACATGACTTGTTGAAATCCTTGTTGTAATTATAAGGTCGGGTACATCCAGTTATGAATAGATGGGGTGCTACTCCTGCTTTGTATATACATGACGCACTCCTGAATAAGACACCAACAGATGACTTCTCACGTAGCTTGCGCGTTAGCAGTCAACCGTGGTCCACAAAGTGTGCTGGTGCCATCAGCAGGAACAGAAGGAAGAACCTGCACACCCACCACATCAGTTTCCAGTGAGTCTAACTTGACATAGCAGTGAAGTACCATTGTTGCTTGCATCGCACAATGGCCAGTAATCTAGCTGAAGCTTATACAAAAGTCGATTTCGTCATTCACGACACAGGCATCCTTGGATGACCAGGTTGTTACAGTTTGGAGAATGGACCTACTGTAGGTCTTGTTCCGCCCTCTATTATTCTGAATTGAGATGCCAGACAAGAGTGATAGAAAGCCATTGACCTCAGCCAGCCACTTGCAGGAGCTTTTCCTATCTTCTGCTTAATTATGCACTTCATTTGATGGAAGACGGCTTTTAACTTGTCGGTTTATGAGACTTAAGCAAAGAAAAAGCACACCAACTACTCGTGCCACGGCTTTGGTGTACCTGTTCTGCAACTCAAGTTGACAAATTGGTTCTAATTTGAACTCTTAGTCTTCCTTTGACTGAGATCCATTTAAGTTTAGTGTACTATCGAGACCTGAAGTATGGTTCTACTGCTGACATAGAAGTTGCCGTCGTGTGTGATATTATGATGCTGCTTAACGTGAGAAATTTACTCAATAATGCCTACAATCAGACTATGCTAGACGGAGGAAATCATTTAAAGGCTGTGGTCCCACCTAAAGCAACCCACGGTATTCGCAAAAAGATATTCAGAAACTCAGGGATTACAGAAAAAGCAATTTTTTTGGATGAAGCTGCTTAAAGGAAACACGAGATGTCCACGTATATCTTTTTATAGCACCACATGTTTAGCGACTGGAAGTTGTATGACAAGATCTTAGTATTACGCCAGAAAACACTGGAGAAGACATACTCCATTCATGCTCAACAAATCTCAACAGACGATATATCTTTGTGTAAATGACTGAGGCCCGCGTCGAGCAAGGATGATCTTGGGAATAAGGATTATGACTCTTACCTTTATATTACTTGTGGCATTTATCAGTAGAATGCTAATCTAATAATATTGTAAAAACCCCAAAAAATAATTTTTACATGGAATAAATGACTCTTACAACAATCTCTTGATGGAGACATCAAATTGGAGACTTGGAGGTGTGAATGTGGTTAGTTAGTACACTAGAACTTCAATGTATCTGCACCGATTCTGCAGCACGAGGTTCTATGTATTAAGTCCTCAGGCGATGCGTAAAGTCGGACCCAAGTCAACAAACAAGCCAGTCCGGACTCGATTGCCGCGTACTCTTGTGACACAAAGAGCAGTTGTGCAGTTATCCCCGTGAATATCACCTCTACTCCACGCGTCATCAGGGCTAGCCCCATCTTACCCCCCTTGGTTTCATCCCTGCAAGACATGACGGTGTTTCTCATCCCTTTCGCTACAATTCTTGGTACTCGACTCACTACACGCGTCAAAGTAGGTGATGACTTCACAAAGATTCTACTTGAGCTTTTTGACTGATTCGTCTCAGAGAAGAGTTTCATTCCTCACAAGAGATACATTATGCTTCTGTTGGATTATCATACTGCACCTGGAAGAAAGATTCGTCTTGCAATCAATGTGGCATGGAACATCCATGTTTTTCAAGATATACAGTACGTACGAGCATATCCGCTACATGTATCCCATCCCTATCGAGCAGCTTTCATCTTTTTCCTCGTCTACGAAACTAGATGAAGTGAAGAATGGTACTTTACAAAGAATTACAATTACAAGAATGGTAATTAACACATTTAGTACTACATGAACGGAATTAAACTGGTTAGGATAACGATGAGAAAAAATCTTGAAATCAAGACAAAAAAATTCGAAATTGTCAAGTCTGCATGCACATATTATCTGTTGAGAAGTTCAGCTTTCTGCATCTAAAACATATTAATTATCTAGATTCAATGAAACACAAGGAAAATGAGCATAGTTTGTTTCGTCATTTAATGTGCTAGCTTTCCTGTGTACAGCGCTAACAAATCATCTTTGTGCGGTAGTGGAAAATAATCGAAGAATAGCTTATTATTATTAATTTAAGATAGTAACAATGATCAAATCAAATATTGAATGAGTACATTGATTGATAAATTCCAATGTATAATGTCAACTTAAAATCCATACATAGTGTTAATAATTGTGCACAAAAATATTGCATTTTCCGTACAAAATTATAATGAAAAAATATATATATAGAATATTAATATCAATGGAATATGAAAGAATAATCATTAAAAAATTATTTTTGTGCAAGGTCATGTAGTACTTTATCCATATTTATATACGCAATGAAGAAAATTTGAGATCGAGTCATATTTACAAATTTCATTTTTATTTCATTATTCATTTTTTTCAAAATTTAGACTTTTGATCAAAGATGATGATGATTTCTAACTTTTAGAATTTTAAGGGAAAACTCACATCCATTTGGCAAAAATAAATATGATTTTTGGTACAATTCAAGCAGTAGCTTCAACACATTGTCAATATAAGTTTTGAAGAAATGAAACAAATGTAAAAAATATATGATAAATGTGAATGAATAATTGATAAAATTTTAATAATAGAAATGATATAAAGTAATCAATATTTCAAAATGTGAAGGATAAAAAAACTAGTATGAGACGTTAAATTATATAAACATACCAAAATTCTCATAAATATTAATTTGAATTAGAATGATAAAAAATTATAAATGTTAGAGAAATATATATATTCATGTACGAAAACATTAATTTATATGATTTGCTTTGATTCATTGGTCTCAAAATCTTGCTCATAATAAATTACCAAAGCTAAACGATTGGGACTTATTCTATACATTTATGAAAATATCGAAATTATAGATGACACGATTCATTGATTCCAAGTGTGTAGGGCCCACTTATTTTGTTGGTTGTTGGTGTCAGAGCAAAAGAAAAGCAGTTGGCAGTTATCAAATCAGAGAGTTGGAATAGACTGCCAGCGAGTTGATGTCTTTCTGCCCTCTGCTGTACGGGAGGCAGAGATCCTTGACACCAAGGAGGCGAGACTTGTGTTATGGGAGTCTCGCCTTCGTTGGGCGGGGGGTACGTTCTGAGATCGGGAATTTAACATATCTTCATGACCGTCCCACAATAAATATGTTTGGATCAGGTCGATTCCTCCTTTCTTCGCCAAATCAATCATCCCGGCCAAATCTGCAACACAGATGTCTATATAACCTTCACGGGAAGTTTTCAGCTGTGCCGCGGCAGCAGTTTTGTCTCCAAGAACCTATTTCGTGATGTCCTGACATCGTTTTCCGCGTAAGGGATTGCCTTTGGTACAGAGGATCATTCATTAGAAGAGAATTAGAGACGGATCTGAGAGTTGCATGATATTTATGATGTAGAACCTGATGACGTCAATCACTAGAGTTTCCTTCATGTGGATCGACGTAAAGTTATTTACAGTACAATAGTAAAGAGAAGAAACTAATATCTGAATCCGTTTCAGTACACTGACTGTATCGAAATGTACCCGAGCAACAAAGACGAAAGAGAAAGTCCCACCTGGGATGTGCTACGTGGATATCGTGTCGAACCACCAAGCAAATTTTGGCGCAGGCCATCTAGCCAGATTGCTCTATGGTGGTTTGTTACAACGATGGAGCTTACACCTGGTACCCAAATTAAGGGCAGAAAAGTCAAGAAGATTGTATCTTCGAATTTTATTCTCCGTTTCTTAAATCTGAGATGGGCGATGTTCAGATTCTGGTGTCAAACAGATAAAATTCTACGAATGAATTGATTATACAAATTTCAATTGATAATAGTCTCACATACCAGCTGACATAAACTTGGAGAAACGATGTGAAACCACTTGTTTTTTGAATGGAAGATGATGAGCAAAACATATATATTGAGAACTTACTGTTTTGACAAACATAGATGGTACAATTTCTTCAATCACTAGTCACATCGTGTGTGCAACAACTTGGTCGGCAAAACTGATTCCATATCTGGCGATCAATATATTCTTCGATATAAATGATTCATCAATGAAACGTGAGTATCAACTGTTTCAAATCTACATTCTAGAATAGTAGTCTTAGAAATGGTGCAAATTTTTGATGGAGATCCGGTTTTTATGTATATGTCTTTAATTTTATTTTTCCTTTGCTTCAGGAGAAAGGGCTTTATTGGATAATATACAGTGACTCATTTCCAGTCTGAACAACGAAAAAAAAATGGGAAGTAGTTCTCATACCTTCCCAAAAGCTTTACCATGAATTGGAACATCTTTGAGTGTATCCACGTTGTTGTTGGAGATTTTTTCCCCGTATCCATATGTCCCCAAATAAGGAGACAAAGGAAGAAGGAAATGGAGAGAGATACGAGAAAAGAATACTTGCTCCACAATCAACCTAAAAGCCGAATACCTTGCAATACTGTATAGCAAATTGTATGGAACACCCAACGAATAATGCGGGGATGAAACCAAGGCGTGTGATACTTAGAATCTTATGTCTCCAATGCCTAACTGCCAGGTTTCGCACTTTTAGGTCATCCCTGCAAATTTTAGTGAATATGAAGCAAATGATTGGGTGATGATACCTGTTTGTGTCGGAACCCGAAGTTTCAGAAAGCCAGTTTGGATTCTTCTGTCAAGTCCCACTAGACAGACATAGGAATCCAAAACTTAGAATCTTGGACTCATGGATGCTTAAAATAGATTAAACAGGCGGCTCTGCAGCTGTGTCGTGTGACTCAGGTTGCCTTGCATTTCCTTGGACCTAATGAGGAGCAGATTCGAAGCTGATTTATTGTCCGACCTGGGAGATACATTACGAGCAACGTAGAAAAGAAGTCTGAATGGTTTCGTGTTTACACGTTAATGACATCCCGTAAACCTTTTGTGAAATGAATAACATTCTCCAGGAATAAAACATTCTAATAATGCGTCATATGGATACGAGAACAAATATTATAGCTGTTATCTGAAACAAATAAATCGATAGATATGAAGTTTAGCATTCGATGAAAATGTTACCTTGTGTCTGTTTGAGGGTGTTGAGCTGCATTAGTATCCATGGTATAATTATCATATTCACATAGGTAATAGATCCTTCAAGTTTTCAACACGCGTGGACTCGTCACTTTGTTTCTAGCGCTGGTCATACTCCCGTTGTCCCTCAAACCTCCATCCAGTTTTTATTCTGGAAGCATGCTCCACATCCTACTATCCACAATGTATTGAGAATTGAAACGGTACTTTCATGGTCCGTGACATGTACCTGCAATCTAAAAGCCAGACCCTTCGTGCCTGTTTTTCTCTACTTGAGAGGGCCCTGTCAATAAAGAAAATTAGAAATTGAAGATTGCAAAATATTTGTACGCTTCGACAAGATTTTACCCCCAACATATATCAATGAGTAAAGAGAGGATCTGGTGAACACTAGAAGGAATATGACTAAAGGAGATAATCGACTCCACACCTCATACCTCCACATCATAATGGATAATCCTTGCTTGTAACTTCTTACCTTTACTGATGGTAAGAAGTTACAAGAAGATAGTAATTATAAGAGCTGTGAGTTAGAAACAAGTGTTGATTAGCGGAGCTTTGACTACTTTAAGAAGAGCCACGAGATTGGTGACAGTTGTGAGGGTCACGTCAGGATTAGTACAAAGAAAATGAGAATAAAAGATGTAGCCTAACAAGTGGATTGTGAATATAAAAGTTGCAACTTTGGTGAATATCTGAGACCCACAGAGTGAGAATAAAAGATTTAGCTTTACAAGTGGATTGTGTATACTAAAGTTGTGCCTTTTTTGGAGAACATGAGAGTCACAAAGATTAATAGAAAGTGGGATGGAACTTAACAAAGGAATTGTGAATGTTAAAGTTGTAACTATATTGAAGTACTTGAGAGCCCCAGAAATGTCAGATCCTTTGTGGATTTACGTTTTCCGGGGTCCAGTTTCGGCCTATGGCATTCCTTCGGCACATGACACCCCAAGGTTAGGGCCCATAGCCTCGCTGATACTACTGTAGTTCAAATATCAGATCAAGAATTAGGGTTCATTGGTATACAATTCTAAAATCGAATTTTACTCTTGTAGAATATGGATGACTTGAAATGAATCTAAATTTGGATATATGAATTAGTTTAAAAATAAAATCATAAGAAAATTTACATGCAGTGTATTTTAGAAATAATCAAAATTTTTTACACGACAATTTATATGTTATGATACCTGATTTAAGAACTATCTATGTTCCAATAGGACATAAATTAAGCATAGTTCATAATATAAAAGAGAATTTAGGACCTTATTTAGCAAAAAAATTTTAAATTTTAATGAAAATTTCAATATCGTTATTATGCGAAACAACTCTCCGTGTCATGCATGCCATGACACGGAGTTTTTTTTTTGGATTTTTTTCTAACTCAACGTATCACAACATAAGAGCACGTCTTGAACTCCTTAGAATATTATTATAAATTATGATATCTTTATCATTTCAAACAACTCTCCATATCATGCTGGTGTTGGAATCTGAACTCATTAAAATATTATCATATATTACAACATCATTACCATATCAAACAACTCTCCATGCACGCCACGATCTTCGCTCAACTTGTTTTCTCCATCATAGATCGCTCTCTGAACTCAGTTGTAAATTGAATCTGCATCAATTTATGCTGAACATCTTGGCATGTGAAAATTATCAAGCTTTAATCCGCCCATCATCATTTGGGAAAGCTTTTGGTATGTCAGAATTTGCATGCGAGGGGTATATTTCAGTAATTGCATCATAGCGAAAAGAGCATAGATAAAAAAATAAAATATGAAACAAAGAATGCACTTTATTCCCGAATTTTCTAGGAGCAATGAAGGGGTTCGGATTTTTTTAATGGCCCGAGCACGAGCACGATTGAGAGAATGGCTGCCAATGGGCAAGAGTGCGAAGGGAGGGGACCACTGGGGATGCGGACGATGTGAACATTCCGAGGGTCCACGCGTTGCGCTTGGCGATGCGGCCGCTGCAGAAGGAGCATGGCCCTCGCTGGCTGGCCGTCTCGTCGTCGAGCCTAATTGGCGCCCGGGCTCGGACGCTCAGCGCTTTTCGTCTTTTCCAATTGGCAAGCTCGGCCAGCTCGCGGGGCATCGTCTCGCCCTTTCCTAGTGCTGTTCGATTTCGTAAATCGAAAAGCGGACCTGCCGAATCTTCTCTTTCGCGGTCTCTTCCGTGGCCTTCCGCTTCGATCTCGAAATCGACGAACTCGACAGCACCCAGGCTGCCTCCATCTCCAAGGCATCGGAGCTAGTTCCAACCGACTCCACGGCCCAAAGCAATTTTTTCGAGTCACTCCCTCCCCCGCTCCCTCCCCCACCCCACCACCACCACCACCACCACCACCAAGTGCTGCCATCAGGGCCTCCTTGACGGGTTCTTTTGTTTCTTCACTCACAATTCTCTGTGGCAGGTCTTCATCAAACTGTCTGCCACGACGCAGCTTCGTTCCCCACCATTCTTCCTCCATTCTTTAAATTTGTCCGGAGCCGCTGTTTTGCGCGTCGTGTCTTTCGTGGTGTCGGGAAATTTCTTCCCTTCCTCCTACAAAACTGCTGGAAATTCAAACAGCTCTAGTGTTTGTCATCTGCACTGCGGAGTTAGATTTGTAGACCGGCAGGTTCGAGCGATCAGATTTTAAAGTAGGCTGAGAGCTCCTTGACCAAGGGAGCGACTTCATCAGCCCGAATCGACTCCCTCGTTCGCTGCCTTGCGGCCCTTTTTACAAGCTCGGCCGCAGGAACTGCGTACGAGGAATCCGAACGGAGAAGGCAGGGACAACAGTGTATAGTGTCGCAGGTAACGCATCGGCTGCGAGCATGTCTTCCTCTGTGTGCTTTTCACGTCTTTCCTGATATTTGGCTCTCTCTCGGGCTCTTCTTTCCTCCTATTGTCCTCCCAGTCTCTGACTGTCTGTCTCTCCATCCCGCGCGCTTCTAAATCCTGTTGTCATATCATTTCGAAGTTCGTGCATCTCTGAGTGATTCGGCGATTAAGAGTGCCATTTCTAAATACTGTTGTCATATCATTTCGAAGTTCGTGCATCTTTGAGTGATTCGGCGATTAAGAGCGCCATGTCGAATCTAACGAGAATGACGATCACTGTAACGGGAAATGCCGTTGTGCTTTGCGCAGTGGTGGGAGAGGAATTTTCTTCCATTTCGTCTCTCGATCGAGCGGCATCGTGGACTGAAACCTCGGCCCCGCTGGAAGGAAGGGACTCGGGTAGTTGGGACAGTGATCAATCTTTAGCTCTTTTTTTGTGGGTTTGAGAGCCAGTGGCCGAGAATATCTGCCACCACTTCCCAACGCCGCTACAGCAGAGTAAGACTTTGAGCCTCGGAATTCGTTCTTGCAGCTGCCGTCATTTGGATTGTCGCTTGTTTTATGGCTCTTGGACTTGCCTCCTCCCCCATCTGTCTCTCTGTCTGCGAAATCAGTTCTTAGCGTGTCTGTAGGCAAGAATGTGGACGGAAATAGTAGGTGCCATGATGGAGTTATAAGCTCCTGTTGAAATTTGAACCACCTAGTTTTGCGGAGCTTCGAACGCCCGCACCATCCTCTCTCGGGATTCTACTTTATTCCCAAATGTGGGTAGCTGCGATGGCGAAGACGGACAACGGGAAGAGTGTTTTCCGACATGACGTCGAGCCTCGGAGAAGCTCGTCTTGTGGCTTCTCAAAGCTAGAGGATTGTGTGATATATGTGCGGGGTGAAGTGATCAGGCATTACTGGGTAGCCTTTAGTATGAGTGTGCAGGGCAACAGATTTACGATTTGGGCTGTATTAACACTGCGTTTCCAATGTGCCGTGCAGCTGCCTTATTTATCCATTTTCCATCATTCGTCTGCTACGAGAGGGATTCAAGGAGAAAAGTGCAGTCCGTGGGCCGGATCACATTAGCTCAGCGTCCTGAGATCAGAGGTCATAGCGAGAGCTTATTCTCTCTACATATATTCCTTACAGAATGGGCGTTGAGCACATTTCCTGTGCTCCAACACGGCAATCATCGAATGGCTGCGCACAGGTCGGATTAATGCCCATGATCACGCCACCACTCAGCTTCGATTGCAAGGAGCTCTACAATGCGGACATCAAACAAACAAATTTCATTTCCCGCATTTTCCATATTCTCCAAGGGTTGAGGCCCGGAGCGGATTTGACATCCTTTCAGTTGCCGCCTCACTTTAATTTGCCCAAGTCACAGCTGCAATGTTACGCGGAGATGGTTTACTGCTGTGGGCAGAACCTCTTAGAGCAATGCGCCGACGGTGCTACACCGATGGAAAGGTTTTTGGCTGTCGTGAGATGGCATATTTCCACCTGTCGACCTGCTCCGTTCGGCAAAGCTCCCTACAATCCCATTCTGGGTGAGACGCATCATGTCACGGCCGGCGATCTGAATGTCCTCATTGAACAGGTAAGACCCATCTGCTAAGCTTCTGAAGTTTTTTATGCCCTGTGTAGAATGGTTCAGACCTAATTCCGTGCTGCATTCAGTAGATCATTTCATCCATTCTATCGTGTCTATCTCCCGGTGCAACTGGAACGTAATCTTTTGAATATCGTGCACGCAGGTTTCGCATCACCCACCGATTAGTGCACTTCATGCAACCAATCAAAAAAAGAAAATAGAACTCTCGAATTGGAACCGGCCCGTGCCAAAATTCATCGGTAAGCATAATTGCGACATCCCAATTTACCTTGCCCTGTGAACCTTAGTTTAGTTTCATGATGATTTTGTTCCCACATCTCCGAAGTTTAGTTTCATGATGATTTTGTTCCCACATCTCCGATTTAATGTCGATCACATACTTCAGCTTCACGGCTTGTCACTGTCACTGTCAACGGGCTAGAACTGTATCTCAGGCACTTATATATTTATATCTCTTGTTTCCAGGTACTTCAGTGGAGGTCACAATTGAAGGCCGGAACTACCTAACATTAGCTGAGTATGGGGAGACTTATGTCATGACGCCTCCCAAGCTGAACTTCAGGTTTCTACCTCCCCAGGTATCAGAATGGACAGGAGACACAACAGTTACTTGTGTGCAGACGGGTTTGCAAGCTACTGTGACCTACAAGTCTCGGTCTTTGCTCTCCCGTGGAAGCAACAGAGTTACCGGCAAAGTCTGCAAAATCGACTCCTCAGAAATTTTGTACTCATTAAATGGCAGCTGGGACCAGTAAGTCCTCGCATCTCGTTTACTTCGCGTATCTCTTTTATGCCGTTGAGTGTTGAGTAAGATCACCCAATTTTGTGGAAAAATTCATGGAGTTATCATGACTATCTTTCTACTCATTCTAAACAAGACTTGACCCAAGAACCTGTCAGACTGTTTCGTTAACCTCGAACAGATCCTTACACTAAGGTATTTTAGGAGGAGTAAAAAAATTTGATAAAAGTCTGAGAGAAGAAAGACGAAGGTCCAACACGGTGATCTTTTCATGTAGAAGTCCATTTGACTGCAAAGCAAATGGTTGATTGTAGAGGAGAAGCCGCATTACCTACATAAGCTCGAAGTTGAAAATCTTTCGTTGTGTTGTCTTGTTGTCTTTTTCCTCTGACAGCTGCCTTCTCACAAATGTCTGTAACCGTGTATGTTGTGGCTTTTCAGGACTGTGACGCTGGAGGAGAAAATGACAGGGAAGAAGTCAGTCCTCTATGATGCCAAGGCAGCTCTAAGTAATCTGAAAGCACCTGTAATCAAGAACCCTCAGGTAATGTCACTTACGGAGAGCACAACCTCATGATCCATCTTATACTCCCTCCTCGTGGTTTTGGTTTTTCTTTGCATGACGGAAATCAAGATACTATATGCACTTAAAGTCCTGGACAGAACTGAGGAAATTGTTTGTTGTGAATTTTGAACAGGCTGTGTCCCCCATGGAATCTGTTGAAGTATGGAGAAAGGTCACCGACGGAGTGTGGAATCAGGACTGGGACATGGCAAGGAAGGCCAAAACCACCGTGGAAGAGACACAACGGGATTTAAGGAAGCAGAGAGCAACTGATGGTAAAGCCTGGAAGCCCAAGTACTTCAGTAAAACATCTCAAGATGAATGGGAGTGGCAATTGAAGGGCCATCCCGTTCCTGAAGGCCCCATTGTTTTGGAGTCGAAGTAGATGCAATTTTTTTGGCTTCCCTCATTTTTTTGGTTCAGATATTGTAATGGATCATTCAAGATCTCTAGTTTTGTCAATTTGTAAGTATTTGAGCTAGTCTGACAGGTCGGATGTAGTAGTATCGAGAGGAACGCACAAGATCAGTTTGAAACAAGAAACAATCCAAAGAAGATATATCATGCAAAGTGATGTGTACAGATAAGTTTCATAATCACTAGGATATTCAAGAGACGATACAGAGTTTACACGCACTCGAATTTTAACAGAGTCGGCTCAAGTTTTGGCTCCTAGTGCAGTCCTCATCGGGCAACTGCTTATGTACCAAAGTGTAAATATTAATAAGAAAGCTTCAGCTGGAAGCTGCATTCTGCAGAGTAAAGTACATGTGACAAAATTCTTGCATCTACTCTTTATTAGGAGCTGTAGTATATTATGCCATCGGCATATGTTGGGTGAATAAGTAATGTGGCCTTTCAAAAGAAATTGAGCTGCGCGCAGGTTGATCATTGACACCTCGGTTTCGATGGTTCATCTCTTTTGAATATAGTACCTATGGGTTAGTGACAAATTCCCTGGTTTTTCGTAGCTTTTTTATTGAGTCGTTAATTAACTGTGCTACTTGAGGGAACCAATCTAAAGTACGAAGTGTTGTAGTAGTAACAGATCAAAATGAGAGAAAGTTGGCCATGTTACATCCCAGAAAGTTGTTCTTAGAATGAGGCGAAAAAAAAGGTAGGCGTCTAGACACTTGGCAGTACTTTAAGTGTTACAGCAAAAAGGTTGGTAGTACCCCATCAAGTTGTGCATAGATGAATCCGAAGATGAGATCAGGCACCGATCGGATTTACTGAGTAACACTCTCTGCAAGGAGAATTGAGTCATGCAAGCCATGTTTTCGGTGAACTACCGATTTGGAACAGCTTAGAATAGCTTTCGGAACTTTCAGGACCATGTGGGGACAAGGACTGTCGAACAACAAATGAGAGAAATGTAAGAAGTCTCGTGTATTGTCGATTGTTAAGACTAGGGACAATGAGGTATTAAACGTCTCTAGCAAGACATAGCTGCTCATAGACATAGCTGGGCAGTGCGTGTAAAGGGATCTACGGACACAAAGATCTTGATTACAATGACTTCCAACGAGAAATATGTAGTTCTCTCTTCCACGAAATACTTATTCATGTGACTGCGAAAGGGATCCAATGTAGTGTACATATATTATACATGTGAGAATGAAACTTGTTGACGGAACACTTTGCAACGTTGGTGGACTATACATCCTTCCAGATGAACCTTGTCAGTAATTACTATCAACGTTGTACAAACTTTGTCGATTACAAGACATTCAGTTGTTGTAGATGCATGACCATACAAAGTTGGGAATGACGTGTACTGAGGTGAGTCCATGTCTAAGCTGCTAAAGGATCTCGTTTGTACCTTTCTGTGACCACCAACAAACCTCCAGAAAAATGTATAATTATGGTCAATGGCGTTAAAAGTCTTGCAATCATGGACTGCAATTAAAATCTGATGGCTATATTGTGAACAGTCACAAAGTATTCAACAACCCATCTGGTGCATTTTCTATTCTTCTATAGTCATTGAGGATGCAGGAGACCAAATCAGTCATGATGATCCAGTTTCAGATAGAGATGAAGGCGGATGCTAAATTTTAGATGAAAATGTGTCCAGCAGAAGGAAAGGTACAGCAGAAAACATACTACATGAGAAGATAAGTCTCCCCTCTGTACATAATTGATACTATCTTCAGGGGTTCACCTATTTCACGACTAGGAAGATACGGCTAGGATTCATTCGCTGAGAGTTTGATGGTTCATTCTATATCTGACGGCCGATGTCGAGTCCATAGGAATTGAGATGCTGCAAGCGTGTCAACAACTGAAGAGCATCACGTGAGGAGCATGGACAATTCATACAACTATCACTTTGGACTTTTGCAATCAAATCTTCTGAACTGCATGGGCCCTATGCATTATGAGCAGTCTCAATTGAAGATCAAATCATAGAATCTATACAATTCTTAGATATTACTTTAGCCTATTGGAAAATCCTTCGCTAAAATGGAGTAAAAGAAAAAACATGGAAATCACACTTACAGTATAGAGAAAGCTCAGTGGGCCCACAACGACTTTTGCGCTGTCTTGACACTAAGCATATAATGGAGACTCAAACCACAATACGTACACTAACATGATCTTTACCATGGTCTTCCGCTGATGTTAGCCTTGTAGCACAATCATTGTTCAATTAGGCTTCTCAGAAGTACGGTTGGATGAGTACGGCTCAGTAAGTCAAAGCTTGTGAAAATAAGAAATGGTCGGACTTTTATGTACTGAGTAGAAGTCACTGTAATGAATGGAAAAAGTATCTAATTAAATAGTTGCGACCTCAGCAATTACAACGTCACCAGTGGTAACGCGCAGGAACTTCAGTCTCCAAAACTCGAACTCAGTCTCTTGGTCGGAAGCATGAAGAGGGCTAACACGTATAGAGCTCCTAGTCATTTTCCCAAGAGGCCAAAATCTTAAGCCACTTTTCCATGGCTCGAATTAAGATGCCACATAACTACTCTGGAGCTGCTTGGCCAAAGGGATTCAGTTTGCTTGCCGACTGGTCTTCTACATCATGCTAGATTCTGGACGGTGATCTTCATCCAAATCCAGACTTTCAGACTGGAGTGAATTCTAGTACTAACAGCGGAGTAGAGACTTGTCACTATGCGTGATCTTCTAGTAGACATGTTCAATGCTCAGTAGAGAAAGTCTTCAAATTGAAGGTTTTTCGATCCGAAAGGCGGGATTGAGGAAAATATCCAATACAGTTAATGGTCTACCTGAATCCGAAGCCATTTGTCACAATGGAGAACCTGGGAATCAGAAAGCTAATTTGCGAGATAGAAGGATTTTGTGAAACTTTTGAGCACCTTCGGAATTATGACTTCGATATTATGCCCGACTTCAATCCCGGAACTGGCTGTCACTACCATCGAGTATAACTCGCGCTATTGCACCTCGTCCACCCGAGAAAGATGCGATCGGGTCAGAAAGGAGTTTGTGCCATAGTTCTTGAAAAGCAAAGCAGGCAATAAGTGTATTCCTGCAAATCTAGCAACAATATGTCCTCGAGGACCTTTGCGAATTTATAGGTCACTGGAATGAAATTACTAAAAGTGACCATGGTGTGGTGACGATATTACATAACCAAAGCAACTATGGGTTCGTTTGGGAATGCAAAGAACGTAAGGTGTGAAGTGCGGATGCCAACATGACTCTACTTCAAGGTTTGAACTTCCTGATGCCTTGAGCATCCTATCGATTAGTGCATGCGAAGAGTGAATCAGAGGTGTAGACTCTCAAGAACGAGCTCGTTAAATACCCTCACTACATGGTACAAGGGAGGTTTAGCTAGAAACTTCATGATACTCTATCTTCGAGGTAAAACTACTGAATAACTTATATCCACTATCAAACAAATGGAATTCGTCCAGATACAATTGTGCGTTCAAAGCGGTGCGGAGTGTCATCCATTCGTATTTTATTGGAAGTAGAGTCTCAATGTTGTAGGCTAAACGAAATGAAGAGCACCCTGTAGATTTTTTGAACGTTGAGTTATATCCACATTGCATGATGGATTTTGTGATCTCAATCGCTAGCATTCGTCCTAGTTTTTGCTTCCTTTGCAATTAGATTACATAATATCTTGTTTGTTCGTTCTATCAGTCTGTTTGTACTTGGTTTATACATATTCGTAAATCTATGCTTAATTGCTAAGCGTTACATCAAATCTACATACACATCACTCGTGAATTGAGGTTTGTTATCAGAAACCATGTCTAACGGAATGTCGAAGCGAATAACAATGAATTCATACACAAATTGTGCTACCTCTATCTTGATCAAAGTGTTCAATGTCAGAACCTCCGCAAACTTTGTAAGATAATCCGTGGCAACTACAATAAGACGGTGTCCCCTTGTAACTAGCAAAGACCCCATCAAATCGATATCCCATTTCTCAAATGGACGTAATGGAGTAATGGGGTGGAAGTTGCCGCTAATCGTAGATTTGTTGGCTAACGCTTGACATACCTCACGACGTTTACAGTAGTGAAAATTATACTTGAGCATAGTTGGTCAATAATATACCTCCGCTAAGATTTTCTCCACTTTAATGTGTCCCGCAAAATGTCACGTACAGAATTCTTCATGAAAGTCTTGTAACAACTATGGTATCTATGCTCTCCTCACTGCAAGTCAAAAAAATAACATCCAAGCCTCATCACAGTCTACTCTTCCGCAAAAATACACTAGTTGAACAATGAAAGTGTAATGCCGACTCTTATCTGCAATTCGTGTACTAACTTGTTTGGTTGAGATATCGGACTATATCTCTATACTGTAATACTTAATCTTATATGTGTGAAATAGAACTAGAAGTAGTCAAGTAATTAATCATGGTTAGTTAGTTATGATTAAGTCTCGCTAATTATAACTAAGTTTATCAAGTTATAACTATGTTTAGCTATAATGTCTATACTTGACGGAGTCCCTAGAGAAGTTATAGAAAATTTGAGTGAGATCTTCTATTTTGTCTTATACAAAAATCTAAATTCCAAATAAAAAGACTTTTGACTTTATGTTTAGTATTGATTGGTTTGACTAGGTAATGGAGATTTCATTTGCTAGACTAACTTTTATATTGATTTAGTGGCAAGTGGAGGTTCTAGAAGTTCAAACAGCACAAATGACATGTCACCACCTGCACAAATCGCATGACGCAATGTCATATAGGAGCATCGTCGACTGTCTCAAGTATCTTGTGTATATAAGACCTAACAGTGTGTACTCGGTGGGTACGTGAGCCATTTCATTAAGGCCTCTACCATCTAGCATCTAGCTGCTGTGAAGCACATATTGCGTTATATTGTTGAAGCGCACCACTATGGGTGCTGGTATAGGAAGAAGAACGTCAGAGTTATGTTGGTTGGGTATTGTGATAGTGATATGACGGGCGACATCAGCACCTGCAAGAACACCACCTGCATGCTCTTCTTTCTCGGCAATAACATTATCACCTAGCAGTCGGCAAAGCAAAAGGTCGTCGCAATTTCCATTCGGTTAGCTCGGCTTCTTGGTGAGTTGCAAAACAAGGAGGCTGAGTGCATCGTACTCAGAGTGGACTTGTTGTCCACTCTGAATCTCCCTTGGCAAAAATTCCGTCTTCGACGATCGCAGCAAGCATATCGACACAAGGTTTCATTTTATTTTGGAATGTGTTGAAGACGAAGAGATTGAGGTAGAGTTCATCGTCATAGATGGCTAGCTTGTAAACATTCTAACGAAGTCTCTTGGACGCGTCAAGTTTCACGAACTTCGAGCCAAGGTCGATGTTGTCAGATTTCAATAAGTGCTCAGGGTTTAGAGAGTGATTTGTCAATTAAACCCTGAGGGTTTTTTTTTTGTTTTGACCTGTGTGTTTTTTAACGTGTCAATACACAATAAAGCAAGGTGGCAGAACACTCTCATCCTTGCGTGTCAAACTTGTGTCGGTTCTCGATTTTCTATATATGTAGAGTGGAGCGTGAGTAAAGAGCTTAGGGATAGACGAGTACCTTCGCAAGAATAGTAAAAAAGCAAAGGTTGAGTCTGGTCTCACAGGCAATTTTCTCAGTATGTAGGTAGTGCACGAGAGTGTAGAGACTAGAGTTTCAGGTTTCAACTGAACAGAGGGAATTGTCACATGCGAGAGGAACAGTCAGTTCCTAATGGCCACTTGTTAGTTCTATAGCAAGCATACAGTAGCACTTGCAACAGAGAGGCTCACGACTCTGATACGATATGCAGAGGTTCTGTAAATCGATGTGAAAGCAACCGTTATAAATACATCAACACCGAAGTTTGCTTCCACTACCAAAAAGTCGAACTAATCGAGTTGAGCTCTGTTGTATTGTGGTGTGTTCTGTTGTGTCATCTTTGAGCTGCTAGTCTTTTAGTTTGTAGGCCGTGACAGTGTTGGCTTGAAGAACGGCCCGTTCAAGGTACGTTGACTTCCTCTTGTCAGTACAACAACCAATGGGCAGTCACCTCAGTCTGGACCTATGCCGAGTCTCGTCCTCAGTCATGCAGTAACCTCCTGCAACGATAGTCGCAGGCGCTCAGACTAAAGAAAACTCCGATCGTCTTCCCGGAGTATAAGGAATCTGGCACGGCAGAAGTGAACAGGACTTCAATCCGTTTCTCTGGGTCCATGGGGTCACGGCTCCTCCTTCACTCCCTCGATGCATCCAGGTGTATGGATCCCTGGTTTGACTCTCTCGGCCGGGGAGAAGACCTGATAGACAGGAGGAGAATCCATGTCTATCCCGTCATGGGAGTGATTGTGAGTATATGTGAGCAGTACATTTGAGTATGATTATGCGTTTTAGATCATAACACATCGATATGAGACCAAGTCTCATATCGATCAGAGATTACTGAACATGCGAGCCATGGACTTTTACATGAGCAGCGATGGATGGGTCCATGCTGTGTCATTCACTGCCACCATGTATGTAGTTCACGTAGAAACCTAATAGTGTCATGCTAGAGTGCTGATCAATGTATTTGATGATCGTGCTTGCAAAATCCTTTCGCTTCAGAATCATTAGGAATGCTCGTGGATCCCTGAACTCAGAAGTTTATGATCAATTTTCATTCTTATTGCCTCTACGAAAAGGAATTAGATCAATTCTTGAGAAATGCCAAAATCAAGGCAGACGAATCGCCATTCTACCTTACAAAAATTTCTCAAGGTCAGGAGGCAGCTCAAGTTCCAGAATGGCTTATCCATGTACAGCGTCTTCGAATCCAAGGAATTTCCAGCATTTTGAGGTTTGCAAATTGGGTACGAGGAATGAACTCTAGTGACTCAATCGGTTTTCTCACAGGCATTCCCAACACAGAACGGTACATTTTTCAGTATCACACTGTCGTCCCAGTTTTTGACAACAGGAAATATCTGATTTCAGCCGCAACTTCAGCGAATGATAGTTTGCATACATTCGGGAAAGAACTGGTAGAATGTAATCGAGCTGGGAAACTTGAACGAACAGGTTGCAACCAGCAGTGTCTGAAGGCTTCTCTGGCATTCCCACAATAAATATCATCTCAGAGATTCCAGTTTCTATTCAAGCACATGTGAATTCTAGATATCTATGATCTGGATGTCTTGGCCAGATTTCGCGAACAGCGAAAGCCGGCCAAGAGAACAGAAAGCTGGTGCGTTTTGTTCAGGAACCTACGCCTCCAGTAGTTAACAGAAGCTTTTGTCCGGGCTCGCGGTTATTCAAGCTTTCGGAAAAAAATTGAAAAATGTTTCTAAGGTGCAAGTCTAACATAGTAAGTGATGATAAAAATTGTTTCTGTAATATTAGTGACAGGTGGCAATCGCCTTCAGGACCGCAACTTCCACCGTCAAACCGGGTCCGAAGCCGACCACAAGTCCCCACTCGCATCCCTCGCCAGTTGTGCTGCTCTTTTTTTGGGCTGAACGCCTCCGCGTTTGATCCAGGATAAACAGTACGCTAGCTCCTGATATGTTCCCGTAATTGTAAAGAATCTCTCTCGTCGCTTCCAGCCTCTCCGGCTTCAAGCTCAGAGTCTTGGCAACTTCATCCAGAATGGCACGACCTCCCGGGTGCACACACCAGAAAAGATCGTTCCAGCTCGGGGATCCTGCCACCTCGATGGCTCCGTTAAAGATGGGAAGAGTGTTTCTGGATATGAGTCCAGGAACATCCTTGAGCAGATGGCATATCAATCCTGCTTCAGTCAGTCTCCCTTCAATAGCGCCGTCACTCTCGGGCAGAATGGTCTCGCCAGACCAGTGAAATTCGAACTGGGGATTCTCTACGTGTGGTACGGGATCGGATCCGATGATCAGGGCTGAAGCTCCATCACCGAAGATGGCAGAACCCACCAAATTGTCCAGATGCTCTTCGTTGGGTGCGCGGAAAGTTACACAGGTGAGCTCGCTCACAACAGTGAGCACTCGTGCCCCCTTATTATTCTCCGCTAAGTCTTCGGCCACACGCAGAACAGTTGCCCCGCCCGAAGCATCCCTGTTGATAGAGCATGGTATGGTACACATTGGGATTCAGTCACAAAAGTCGGGTGAGAGTCAGATCAGCTCCGGGCATGTTGACTCCGCTGGTGGTTGCGAACACGACGAGCGTAATTTGGTCTCTGGGTTGGCCCCACTCCGCCAGAGCCTCCTCAGCCGCTGTCTCTGCCAACCTGGGAACGTCAATGATGGCAATGTCTTGCCGCACATCGAACGAGGGTTCCAAGTATGTGCACATCGACGGGTTGGCTTTCAGAATGTCTTCCGTGCAATGGAAGTATATGGTGTTGAGACCGGAATTCTTACCTAAACAAATTGAACAGCATGTGCACCATCATCAGACACAGAATTCTCAATTCTGAAGTTCTTAACTAAGGTATTGTTCCCGATGATTTTATCAGAACACTCAAACGACGAGAAACAAAACATCCCAATCAGATATATCACACACACTTACAGATCCTAGCGAATTTGGCTTTGAGTTGAGTCTTGTGACTGGTGTTGATAATGTCGAAGAAGAAGTCCGGGTATCTCTCTGTTGATATGCTGTGGGCGGAACGGCCTTGCCAATGGCGAGCACTGTTGCTGGTCCCTCGGCTCGTTTGTGAGCAGCTAATCCCATGCAAATTGTATGAACATCAGGTACAACAAATTGCATCGCATCATAAACAGAAGTTCCAGCTAACACAGCACCACCAGGATCCGGTCCGCTGTGTCGTTGAAGATCCTTCGGCTCAAGCCGGTGGAGGAAGCGCCGAGGTCTCTGGTTCAAGTCCAGGATAGCCCAGCTGCGCCAAGATAAAAAAAAAAAGCATAATTATTTATTTTTGCATGCTTTCCTGCCTTTCCTTCGCCTGGGTATAGGGCAGACAATTAAGCATCCAACCCGTAAGCGCAACGACCCAATGGCAAGGGCGGCGCTCTACCAACTGGGCTATATCCCCTATACCCAGGCCGTAGATAGCAGGAGCATTGCCATTGTTTACCATGATCGAACAATCTGTTTGAGACTCAGCCGACTCTCTCGGATGGTGTACTGACACAAGCTCGTCAAGTCATGTCTGTCGTAGAGGAACACGGGCTGACAGCAGAGGGGAGAAAGCAATATCGCCCAGATGTTTCTGTACACCAGCTCAGACTTACAACTGAGGGCGATGGCTGTGACCTGAGTTCCGAGCCATCGAGCATATATTCTTCAGACTCAACTGTGATTAAACGAAGGCTCAGGTCTGTGGCGACGTCGGCGTTCGGTCCCGTCTCGCAGGACCTCGTGCAGAAGACCCCTGTGACCTCCGGAACAGGGGGTTGACTACACTATATGAGGAGACACCGTTGACCTACAGCGCAATGAGCATAGCCCGGGTAAGTCTGCGATTCATCGGCCTACATTACAGTTTAAAATTTAGCATCATTTGTCTATCGAAATGAATTCTGACTTATATGCTGAAAATAACGAAAATTGGTGACTTGTATGGGCCAGACTGTAATGCAACAAACAGGCTCTTGCGCACATCGTTCTATGCAGTATTGTACTAAGAAGTCCTTGTACCGGGCATTTCTCCCTTGTATACCGATGTGGAAATTTTCAGACTGAATGAACTTCAAGATGAACGGACAATCAGAAAATAGTGACTCTTGCTTGGACAGTTAAATGCAGGTATACATTTCTACATGTGGTTTTGATGAAATTGTTAAATAAGAAGCACGGTACTAAAAGGCCAGAAAAAGGAAGATATTGGGATTTCTTACCTTTCGACCATCGTGGAGGTTTCGACTCCTTGCATTGATATTTTCAAGCCAACAGTTGCAGATGAATGCGCTAGTGGATTGTCTAGAATTACCATACAAGATTATATAGACTAAAGCATGTACTCGACATTTGTGATGTATTTTTTGCCCTGATTTTATACACATTTGCCTTGAGTAGTACAACGAATACTTCTTGCTGCCTGTCAGGACGCGACGGATTTTCATACGTTACAATCAATACCAAATTGTTTATATTTAAGAATACTATTTTCAGATGATATCATAGTTGAGTATGAGCTTAGTACGACTAGAATCACTGGCACAGAAGACGAGACTATATAGTTATTTCAGTCGTTGATACCAGTTTGCAGTCGCATCGTATTTCACAGCTTAATGGGCCATCCGTCATCAACTCATCAAACACAAACTCAAAAAGTCACATACCACATCACAGATCATACCAGATTCGACTAACAGCAGCTTTGAGGACTTCGGCAAATCTCTAAACTTCTCGGTTGCCAGAGGATCAGTAGTCTAGTCTATCTTTTCCGGCTGAGAGCACACTTCTTAATGATCGATCTAGATCTTTCTGGAGCTATAGTGGTTTGACTAAACAACAAACGTTTGTTTATTTCTCACGCATGTATTATCGCCAGATACGTATTTTCACGGGCTGTAAAGCATCAAAGCATCTTCGCCAGCGCCATCTGGATTTTAAATAAGTTTTGAGCTGGATCCATCAGGCCCAAGACCACTTTAAACTACGTGAATTGAGAAGACGACTCTGTTGTCCATTTACCATTTCCCATCATGAGTCCAGTTCCGCTATCCTCCATCGCAAGAGCAACATGGGTCTAGACTTCAGAGCAAGAGTTCTGCACAGGAAACGATAAATATTTTTATATTTGTCCATCATCTTCTTCAAGCAAAGGTTTCCTTCCAGGGGTCCTCATCTTGAAACTGTCACCCAATTCTAGATTTAAATTCATAATGAATGTTCTAAACACCAGACTCTGGCGAGTTTACGAGTGGGATTCATGTATGCACCTCCCCGCACATGGATTTAACCTTGTGACCGAATATTCTGCACATACAAAATATAAACAGAATATTAACTAATAGAATATTTGAAATTTTAATTTTCATAAGTACTCTTTTTCAAGTTTCCAGTTTTCTTTTGCCCTTCCTTTTGCTTGACTTATGCCCAGAGCAACTTCCGTAACCAGGAAAACCTTAAGACTATCGAAGGATTGTTTCGATCGTTATTTTGTTTGTAAAATCGGGTAAGTGGAAAAATCGTGTAATTTGCAATCAGTTAATATTTTCTCACTTTTATGAGAAGTTAACATCCGGTCACAAGCTGCCACTGCAGAAAACAGAAAAAAACAAAAAAGCAGTATATTGTACAACTTGTTATTTCTCTTCACCTTTGAATCCTGAACCTGTTTTTCCAATTTGGATTTTCTCTTCTCTTCAAGCATTTGGTTTCTAGACTCCTCATTCAACCACCTCTGTACAAAGACAATTTGTTGGTAGATATCTGGGTATACATTACTCAATCGAAATACATTTCTTTCATTTAATCATCACATGCCACAGAGCTTTGTATCATTGCAGCTATCCACAACTGCTATCACGTTCTGGCAAAGAATCCACACCTCAACAAAAGTGTGGCATGTGCAGCTTGAGGGAGGAAATACAAATATTTTGTTCATGCTCTGAAATTCATGTTGCTTTACACTTAATGTGGATACAACCATTTTCACGCGTGGTGCGTAATCTTCATATGTTGTGCCAGAAAAATACACGGAAAGGGGCTCGTCAAGGGTATCTTATCACAAAGTTACCCTCACCTGACGAGAGGGCTTCAACTTCATCAAATCCACTGCTCTGATACACACTGCTCGCATTGGGCGAAACGCACGAGGGCCTCTGCTCCAGTATACTTCAATCTGAAAAAAACAAGACTTATCAAATGTAACTGATCCGAAATCTATCTGTCCTAAAATCCAGATCTTCTATTTATCGTGACTGTCTGTAGTAGAATCATGCCTTTAGTGAGTAACTTGCAATACAGAGTCTGATCATAAAAAAGAATTAAAGGCTTGGAGCAAGACTACAACACTGTCAATAGTAAAAAAAAACAATTGAAAAAAAGTTGAAAAGATAGCATCCACATACCGTGAAAACTTGTTCGGATGCAGGACTTTTGGAATGTTTCACAACTCGACCGACTGTGATCCTCTTTATATTGTCATTTACTTTGCCATTGAGCAGATCATATCTTCAGGTGCTCTAGGTAGATAAAACGCATATTAGTTTTAAAATGATCAGCAGAGGAGTGCTCTCGAACAGGACAATTTATCTCCGTCAAGGTAGCATGGATGCATATCACTCATTTGTCTAAATTAGAGCGCGTCGAAGGTCTTACCCTTCTCTCAATCTTTGTTCAAACAGGATCACATCGCCCACACACAAATCATCTGATAACAGCATCACACGATAAATGGTTTAGGGTTAGATGGTTTACATGAATGTGTGTGAGAGAGAGTATCTACGACACAATTCAACTGACTAGGTTCAAGGCGGGAAAATAGAACCTGTACAATCAATGATGAACGAGTTTCGTGGATACTTCCGTGCTCCAGAACCATCTGTTAATCTGCAGATTTACAAATGAATGCCTCTTCGACGATCCAAGCGAGGTATAGCTAGTGACATCAAAGGAAAAGAGAACGCAAAACCTAAAGGACACTCGCGGTGTTCCAGCAGCTTACTCCAGATGATCTCTAATTCGATGTATCTGCTCACTCTTGGATCCAGACGTCCTCATCCCATAGCACTGGAGATAGAATCTGCAGAAGTCTGGTGACATATGTCTCCAATCACCCTCTGCAGGTGAGTGCAACCTCGTCAATTGTAGGACAATTGTAAGTTGGAAGGTTTTGCCAAATGTACTACAGAAACGGCAACAACGACTCAACACCATCGGGAAGCGTCGGGCAAATTCACATACTCATGGCGCAGTGTATTGCGTGTTTGAACTGCACAATTGCTTGTTGCCCATGAATGGGCAACACGAAGTTCAGCGATTTCAGCCCGCCACTCGAGAGCACTTCCTTTGCAGAAAGAGAGTTACTGCGCACGGGACAACAACAGTCTGTCTATCTGATCGTCAATCGAAAGCGAAATCACATAGCGCATTAGTCCCAAAACGAGCTCGATCGATCGCCTACTTCAGTCATTACTCGTCAAAATGACCACCGAGAGAAAATCTTACCTCATGGAAGACAAGGAGAAAGTTTCCGTGCTCCTTATCGTGCTCTTTGGTGGCTCGTGGCCAGAGCTTTCTCTTCGCTCTGCTATTTCACGGCTCGGAGCCGGCGCCACCACCACCTCCTCCTTCTCAGAGGATTGAAAAGGAGGAGGGCTCATGGAGAAGGATTTCTTGAATACCACGGACCCCGAATTTCTGCTCGTCTCTCCACTGGCAGAGACGGATTTCTCTTCCTCGGCCTTCAGACAGGCAGCTCCGCTCGAGGTCGAAAATGAAATCGTGGAGCTCTCGCCGAGGCCAAGCTTGATGGCAAAGCGCTTAGTGCTCTTCCCGAATCGAGAAGAGCACTGATCGCTGGAAGCCGATGGGGATTCATTGGCACGAGTCGCCGGCGACCTAATTTCGACCGCGGGAGGCTGGGGCGGAGGCTGGGGAGAGAGATCGATCGGGCCCGAGGCGAATCGCGTGTGCAATCCTGTGCGCAGCGAATCGAACGACTGCGGCTGGTGGATGCGGAACCAGAGGCGGGCGTCGCCCTTCAAGCACTCGTTGGCCACTCGCATCGTCTCCTTGTCGCTGTAACCGTGAATCTGTTGCAGGCGTCGCATTCGCGCCAGCCACGCCTTGGGCGGCTCTCGTCCATCGTACTCGAACTCCGGCTCGTGCCACGCGGCCCGCCGATCGGCCCGCGGGATCGACGGAAGAATGTTCCGCGTCTTCTTCAAATCCTTGAATCCTGCCATCTCTCTCGTCGCGCGAGCGAACGAATGACTCTCCTGCTGCGCGGGGCATCGCTCGTCGATTCGTCAGGTCCGCTGCGTCCAGGGAATCCATCGCATTCCTCTCGATCGATCGGACCCTCGTGATTCGCGCGAGATTCGAGATCGCCGAGGCCTCCGGAGCAACAGCTTCGGATGCGCGGAGACGCTAGGATAGTGGCTGATTGACTGTCTCCATGCTTGCTTTCCATCTGCCAACTGCAGAGATTGTTCGCTCTTTCTTCGATCGAAGGTTCTCGTGCAGCTGACTGAGCTCGAGGATTCATTGCAGCCAGACGGAGAAGGATGGATGAGAGACAGAGAGAGAGGACTGTCTCCCTCAGTGTCCCTTTGGATCAGGCAATCGATGGATTTGACCGGATGGTCGATCTCGACGTTAGCGACTCCTGCATCCGCAGGTCATGTCACCGACCGATCGATCGCTCGATAGATGGATTCTCGATCACAGAGCACGAGAACGAAGAGCGGTCCATGACTTCTGAACATCGGGCTCCCTTCCTCCCTCGGCCTCGTGATCTTCCTCGAGTGCATTTGTTTGAATCTTGTGAAGCGAGGAGGTGAATTTTGTGGTCTTGACCGCACGAGGAATCGATGCTTTTCGAGTGACACGAGCAGCCGTCAGGTGAATCCGCAACAGATTCAATGTCACGAGACAGCGTTAGTGCCAGTGAGTCCGATCGATCGGCTCGTGTCCACGGAGTTTCATGTCCGCTGGAAGGAATGGACTCATGCACGCCTCGTTGTTGCTTTGGATGCATGCGAGGCAGTCGAAGGTCATGGCGGCGGCATTGGCCGTTTGTGATCACACTTCACTCCACTTGAAAGTGCTGAAATTCGTCCTCAACTGCAGCTGATTGACGTATAACGTCGAGGCGAAGGGCTAATTCCAGCCTTGCAAAGGAGAGAGGTCGATCAAACGAGTTCAGATTAACGCTTCAATCGACACAAAGCTCGAGCAAACAGCTATCAGCTGTTGCCGACTCTCTGAAGTCACAGACCGCCCGTTCACATATGAATCTGGCCTGGACACTGCCTGCCAATCATGCATGGCGTGACCGGCGAACGATGGAATGACAGCAACAGCAACACATCCAGCAGTACAGATTCGGATCAGCGTTTTCAACATGAGACGTGATCAATCTACAACCAACAACCTTCATCGGATTGTGAAGCCAGCTTGCTCGTAGTGTCATCCATCATCTTCGAGTCAAGCTTTCTCCAGGACGGACATTCATCATTTCCGACTCGGCTGCATCGATACATAGGATATGACGAAACGAAGACACTATTACTTAGATTCAGCAGTAACATCGCAGACTGACTGAGCATAGATCTGCCAGTGTCAGCCGGTTCCTACACTGGTTTTGCTACAACGGCGCAATAATTTTAATTCGACGAGAGATCGTAGCGAGACTTCAAGACACTTGCGTTTTGAGATCTACATCGCAGCCGATGATGTCCTCTAACGCACCGGTGTGAGAGCCATGACTAAGTAATCAACGCTCCAGTGAGAGCATTCTGGAGACTGACCACTGACCATTGCCCATGGACCGTAGTGTGTGGGTGGTCCGTTCTTGAAATTGCAGCCAAAGAATGAACTGTTATTGCAGGTACCATCAATCTTGAGCAGTTTCGTACATTTTGTTAGTTTGTTCGTGCGAAGATTATGAAGTAGGTGGCGTTGATACGATTCTGTCGTCACGCCAATCTCGAGAACCGAGATGTATGTGACCTGGAAGCTGAGAAAAAAATGTGAGACGATCATTATTGCGAATGTGAGATCTCCGCATGTGCGCGCCACAGGAGTGAGAGACATGGTGCCTTGCATCGTTGTGCAGAAGGTTTTCAAGCTGCTATTGCTCCCACTTCTACCATGGAACTTCTCACGTCAAAATTTGAGTAAGGTTTATTTGTATGACATTAAGCATCGGACCAAAAGACTTGTAAATAATCTTCCATAATTCGATCATGGAATCCATGCTGCTTGGAGCCTGGAAGTAATATGAAGTAACTAAAATAAAACCTCTCCTCGTTTAAAGCTAAGTGATTTAATTGTACGTATTATCCCTCCACATGGACAACGGTGTTAATAAGCACTAGTGGGTTTAATCGCTATCAATGAGTAATAGCGTCACACATCGCTATCACTCACTGTGATAGCGATGAGCAACGGGAGAGTGAGATTCATATTCTTAAATATTCCACAAGATGTCGATCAATAGTTTAGAGCTAATTAAGATTATTGTCTCTTTACTGCAGGTTGTTCCCTCGAACCAAATTTGCCCTTGTTTTTCGAACATTGCTGGTTTGTACCCAACGAAATCCATTTCTATTGTATCAAAAGAAAGCAAAGTGCCACGGATTCGTGCCTTTCTTGGAACCTCGCTAGAAAAGGGCGACTTACGAGGAGCCGGTCTCACTCAAACGGAGCTGCCTCTGCTTTTGCCGAACGACAAGAACTCTATCGAATTCCCCTGTGCTTTCCAGACGCAGCTCCCCAAATTCGGCGCGGTAGGAGGTAATTATTACGAATACCGAAAAACTGCACTGACGGCTCGACGATGAGAAACATAAACCCTCTGCTTATGTACTACGGACCACGAACAGATCTCCTTAATTGAGCACTGTTCTCGAAATATAGAAATTGCGCTTTGCGGCCCTCTATGCCAAATTCTCTCAATAAGGTCGCCGTCTCCTCTTCCGCGGTCCGCCCCTTCATTCCCTCCCGATCGGCACCGTCTTCCCCTCCTCTGCTTAATCGTACACCTTCCATGTAACGACACATTTGTCGAATATACAATATACGTCGGGGCCAGCCCCTCATATTCATCATAGACCAAGATGTTCCATTCGGTCCCCCTTCACGTATAAATAGTTCGTAGCTTGAGTAGCTTGTGGAGTTGACTGCGAGCCTCTGGTGTAAGCAAGGCAGGAGGAGGACGCGACCGAGGCCGGGTGCTGGAGCTGGGCATGTCGGGAGGTTCAAACGACGTAAGAAATTCTGACAGTCGTCCCGAGTAGAAGCTTATTGCAGTTGAGTGGTGCGGAATCCTTCGCAGCAGTAAGGTACGTTGGTCTTCCTTGGAGATCTCAGACATTCCGTCTCTGCCTATGCCGCTGATTGGAGTCGAAATAGTCTGGGCCAAGCTAGAGTTAAAGATCATACGCAATGCATGAATCTCGGTAGCTCGTCGGATGCAAACTATCATCGCATGGGTCGTGCTGGTCAGCGAGGTAGTAGAGGTAGTCCAGTCGACAGTTTGCCTCTTTTCAGATTAGATTGTAACATCCTTGGTAAAGAGCGCTGTTTTCGTCTAAGTCTCAGTCTGGTCGTAGTCTTAGCTTTGGGGTCTGCATAGACTGATGGATCCAATTCCTGATCCTGTTTATTTTAAATTTTTGGCTATCTCACAAAGCGTTTGAGACCATGTGCCGGCATGTTAAGGACGGGATTAACGGAAGGTTCCAGCAGCGGACCATTTTCTTCGAGAATAGTCTTGACGAAAGTGTTGTAGTCTCGTGCTTGGCCATTCTTGAATTACACGAGCAATTTGACTGTAGAGTCAATCAGCTGGGCAATTACAGCAGGTTTTGGATTTCTTTGCAGATCCATCGAACATTGAGCACCAATATGTGGGGATTTCTAAAACGACTGTGGAAATTTGTCAGACTTGGGTTAGTCGCCGCCGGCCTCACCCTACTGGCAGCACCAGTTGTTGTGCCTGCCCTCGTGACAACTCTTGGATTCACGAGTGCGGGTATCGCCGGAGGCAGCTGGGCAGCGGGGTTCATGGCCTCGTATGGAGGACTTGTGAGTGCAGGTAGTGCCTGCGCTACTCTTCAGACGATTGGAGCAACGGGCGCTCTGGGAGGGCCTAGTTTGTTGGCCGGAGCGGGAGCAGCGACGACTGCATTGGCAGTGGCCCTCGGGTAAGGCCGGCGGTGACAAATCTGCGGATGCGGAGATGGCCGCCGAGAACTATTGCCTTTTCACTCCTTGAGCAAAACCCCACACGAGAAGCGCGTAATTTGGGCAGTTGAAACTACACGACTGTACACGTACTTCCGAAATTTTGTTAATACATCTCTGCTTTATCGGTCAGACCAATCAACGTGTTTTTTGTGTACGAGAAGTTTACTTCGGGCTGGCAAGACGAGCATGCGAGCGACTATTATTGCTTCACTGCTTCTAAACGTAGTTTGCTTGGGAGAACTCATTGAATTGAGTTGTTGATGATTTCATCGTGTTTTAAATACTCGAGTGATGTAATCCTTGTATGTTGTCAATGTGCCATTGAGCAGAACGGATGAGAAGTCGAGTACTTCAGAACATGAATATCTATCTCCGTAAAAGAAGTATCGATGCAAATGGCTCAATTATCTGAATGAAACCGAGTAGCAAATCTTGCCCTTCTCTCAGGGCAGAATCTGATGTTTCAAAATCACAACACATCGCACACACACATCATGTGATGACAATCTCACACGCTGTAAGTGTAAGGTGCGCTAAATGTTTTCGGAAATCTGATATATTTACATGCTTGGAGACAGATAGTCATCGATGACTAATGTCATGCCCAATTGCACCTATTGTCTACTTGATATTGTCATCTGACGGACTGTGGATTACCAATCACACAATTAAACGTTCGCTGTCCAGATTTTATGTAGCCAGAAGCGGAAAGACTACAGGCAGAAGATTTTATACGTCATGATCTTTATACTAAATTTATCTTATGATAAAATATTATCCCCAATACAACTTCTTTCCTCAATATCAGAAGTAGATAGAATAGAGAAATAAATTACGCAAGCTTTCATTCTAAATCGATTTATGTAAAAAACGATGTACGAACCAGCCGCTACGTTCTAAAGTTGACGTCTTGGAACTTAGGTATGGCTCGAAGCTGTCATTGCCATCTCTAACGTCATTCTGTAGCACCTGATAAGTTTTGATGGTCTAACTCTGAGGTCGATCTTCTGATGATAAAACGTGCGGGTTGTTTTGACATTACATATTGATGTTGATCTTGTGACCCAGCGAAGCTTTAGCAGCAGAGATGAATTTGTGGTGAGAAAGATCGAGGACTTCGATGATTTGCTCGAGACTGGTTAAACTCGAGTGAAGGAGGTCTGATCATCATGGACCTCAAGTTCTCCCTATTTACGTCTATATTGCCATTTTTAGTGCCGAGAAAAGAATTTTCACCTGCTAACCCGCAGGCAAGCGGACCTGTCCCTCCTCCCGATCTTCATGGCCAGCAAGTCGGACATGCTACCAGTTCACACGATCTGGGGAAGTTTACTCATACATGTCTGTCGCAGAACTCCTGAATACGGACAAGAGGTTGCGCGTGGTCAGCGTCTCACACGCCCTTCCAGACTTTACACGGCCATGAACGACTGTAGATCCTCCATAAGCTTCTGCGCTGAGATGTCGTATCCTTGAAGATTCTTAAAATTTGGAATTTAATTTTGTTTGAAGATTATGACTAGAAACGTCTTACACCACATTGAACGTAAAAACCAAAATAAAACTATAAAATGAAAATAATCGTTCAATATAAATAATCGTTTAATGAAAACAATCGAATCCATCCCTTATTTTCAATGAACAATTAGTCATTGAATAATCAGTAAGTAAGTTACAGAGTTCCAGACATCTAGTTCTATCTTCCATTGAACGAAATTAAGTCCCGGAACGGTCTTATTTTCTACATTACGTGATGCTGATAACAGTAGAAAGTTATTTTAATGACGCAAGATATTTCAAGCATGGGACCAAAACATTTGTAAATACTCTTCCACAGTTCGGCTAATTCGATCATGGAATCAATCTTGCTTGGAGCCTGGAAGTAGCATGAAGTAACTAAAATAAAACCTCTCCCCGTTTGACGCTAAGTGATTCCAATTGTACGTATTATCCGTCAACGTGGACAACGGTGTTAATAAGCACTAGTGGCTTTAAACGCTATCAATGAGTGATAGCGTAACACATCGCTATCACTCACTGTGATAGCGATGAGTAACGAGAGTGTGAGACTCATGTTCTTAAATCGTCCACAAGATGTCAATCAATAGTTTAGAGCTAATGAAGCTTATTCTCCTCTTTACTGCAGGTTCTCCCCTCGAACCAAATTTGCCCTTGTTTTTCCAACATGGCTGGTTTGTACCCAACCAGATCCATTTCTTTTGTATCAGAAGACGTAAAGTGCCACTGCATTCGTGCCTTTTCTTGGAACCTCGCTAGAAAAGGGCGACTTACGAGGAGCCGCTCTGCTTTTGCCGAACGGGCGACTAGAACTCTATCGAATTCCCTTTGCTGGCTAGATGGCTGTGCTCTCCAGACGCAGCTTCCCAAATTCGGCGCGGTAGAAGGAGGTAATTATTGCGAATACCGAAGAACTGCGCTGACGGCTGGAAAGGCGACTCGACGGTGAGAAACATAAACCCTCTGCTTATGTACTACGGACCACGAACGGATCTCCTTAATTGAGCACTGTTCTCGAAAACTAGAAATTGCGCCTTGCAGCCGTCTCTGCCAACTTCTCTTGTATTCAACTTGCAGCCTCTTCCTATCTTGAACGTACACCTTCCATGTAACGACACATTTGTCTAATATGTCTAATATACAATATACGTCGGGGCTAGACCATCATATACCAAGATGTTCCATTCGGCCCCCACTTCACTTATAAATAGTTCGGGCGCTGTGTAGCTCATGGAGTTGACTGCGTGGCTCTGGTGCAAGCAAGGCAGAACAAGGACGCGACCGAGGCCGGGTGCTGGAGCTGGGCATGTCGGGAGGTTTAAACGTCGGTAAAGGAATTCCGCCAGTCGTCCCGAGTAGAGGCTTATTGCAGTTTATGGTGCGGAATCCTGCGCAGCAGTAAGGTACGTTGGTTTTCCTTGGAGATCCCAGACATTCCGTCTCTGCCGATGCCGCTGGTTGTAGTCGAAATAGGCTGTGCCAAGCGGACTTAAAGATCATACGGAATGCATGAAACTCGGTAGGTCGTCGGTTGCAAACTATCATCGCATGGGTCGTGCTGGTCAGAGAGGTAGTCCAGTCGACAGTGTGCCTCTGTTCAGGTTAGATTGTAACATCCACGGGGAACAGCGCTGTTTTCGTTGAAGTCTCAATGTGGTCGTAATTTTAATTTTGGGCTCTGCATAGACTGATGGTCCAATTCCTGATCCTGTTCATTTTAAAGAATTTTGGCTATCTGACAAAGCGTTAGACCATGTTCCGGCATGTTAAGGACGGGATTAATGGAAGGTTCGCAGCATCATGCCATATTTTCCAGAATAGTCTTGACGAAAGCATTCTAGTCTCGTGCTTGGCCATTCTTGGATTACACGAGCAATTTGACCGTAGAGTCAATCAGCTGGGCAATTACAGCAGGTTTGGATGTCTTTGCAGATCCATCGATCGGTGAACACCAACATGTGGAAATTTGTGAGAGTGGGTTTAGTCACCGCCGGCCTCAGTCTAGTGGCAGCACCATTGGTTGTGCCGGCCCTTGTAGCAACTCTTGGATTCACAAGTGCTGGTATAGCCTCAGGAAGCGTGGCAGCGTCAGTGATGGCCTCGTACGGAGGGGCTGTGAGTGCAGGCAGTGCCTGCGCTATTCTGCAGAGTATTGGAGCGACGGGCACTTTGGCTGGGTCTGGTGTCATGGCTGTAGTGGGAGCATCTGCGGCTGGATTGGGAATGGCCGTTGGTGAGGCTGAGGATGCGGAAATGGCCGCCGAGATCAACTGCGTCACACCTGCTGAGGACGAGAACAATTGCCTCACACCTGCCGAGGACGACTGACAAGAGGAGCGTGCGAGCGACTCTCATTGCTTCATTGCTTCTAAACGTAGTTTGCTTGGGAGAACTCATTGAGCTGATTTTGGATGATTTCTTTATGTGTCATAACTCGAGCACTGTAATCCTTGTATGTTGCCAATTTGCCACTATCCCCATCAACTGCATTCCTCAGTATCAGATGTAGAGAGATAGTTTACGCAAGATTTTATTCTAAATCGGATTATATAGATCTAAATGTATGAACCAGACGCTGTGTTCCTAAAGTGACGTCTTGAGGCTGAGGTATGGCTCGGAGCTGTAATCGCCATCTCTCATCTCATTCCGTAACACCTGATGAGTTTTGATGGTTCAACTCTGAGGTCGGTCTTCTGATGATTAAACTTGCGGGTTATTTTGACATTATATATTGATGTTGATCTTATGATCCAGCGAAGCTCTAGCAGTAGACATGAATTTCTGGTGCGAGGACTTCGATGCGAGTGCGAGGACTTCGATGATATGCTCTAGATTGGTCAGCCTCGAGTGAAGGAGGTCTGATTATCATGGGCCTCAAGTTCTCCCTATTTTGGTGTATAATGACATTTTTGTTGCTGAGAGCAAAGAACGTCTCACCTACTAACCCGCAGGCAAACGGACCTGTCCCTCCGTCCAATCTTCATGGCCAGCGAGTTAGACAGGCCACCGTCCACACGATCTGGGGAAGTTTACTCATACATGTCTGTTGTAGAGCTCCTGAATACGGAGGTTGCGAATTGTTAGCGTCTCACATGCCCTTCCAGACTTTACACGGCCATGAACGACTTTAGATCCTCCATAAGCTTCTGCGCTGAGATGTCGTCTCCTTGAAGATTCTCAGGATTTGGAAATAAATTCTGCTTGAAGATTATGACTCAAAACGTCTTACACCACATTCTATTGTCCAGCTGACGTTTCTATCGTTCACATTTATCGGTATTATGCGACGATCAAAATGATAATGTTGAGACGCTGAATTCAAGGTTTGACAGGACTAATGTCAAACTGACGATAGACATGGCGGTTAAACTTTGTTCGTCTTATATCTCACACTGATTAACGTCAAGTCTGAACTTATGTGTTCATCAGCTAGTTATCCCTTCTGGTTGGATCTTTTGGTGAAAGTAAAAATCAGAAAGAAAGTATGAAAATGAGAATAATCGTTCAATAAAATAATCGATTGAAGAATGAATTTACTCATTCTTCAATCGAGTATTTTATTGAATAAATAAGTGTATACATCCATCCCTTATTTTCATTGAACGGTTAGTTAATCAGAAAATTAGTATATTATGAAGTTCCAGGCAACTTGTATGTTCCATTGAACGAAAGTGAGTTTCGAACCTAAACGGCCTTACATTACGTGATGTTTATCATCGTAGAAAGATCTTTTAATGACGCAACGGGTCCCAAACTAGCTATGCTAACTAACCTAGAAAACGGGAAATTTGTTAAACGTATAAGACGAGCCTTTGATCTCGAGATGAAGATGCACTTCTAAACATTATATATTATTAAAACATATAACCATCCAAAGATCGTTGCATTCATTTTCCGTTAACTTCGAGAGACCACCTCACTACCCTTACATTTTTCGGCAAAAATAACGCTCCTTGACGATTATCTTAAGGATTTGATCAATATAGGTCGCCAATATTAGCGTCTTTTCCATGGAAAGCTGATTTTCCACGTAGCATTTGCACGGCCTTTTCGCTGAATTTCCATTTCTATTTACGTTACTCGTTCTGCTCGCCGTTCACTCAGAATCGGAAGTATGAAGACATCTCCAACCAGCGAGGTGTATGTAAGAAGAAATTGCAATAAACTTTTAGGCTCAGTGAAACAACAACTTGAAACTATCAGAAGTCTTTATTTCAAGTAGAGAAGCTGATCATTAGTCTAGCTTTTCGGCGGGTTAGACTGAATAGAGTAGATCAATTTCCTACGACTAGAAGTGTTTACTTCCCAGACGCAGCTTCCCAAATTCGGCGCATTAGAAGGAGGTACTTACGAATACCGAAGAATTGCACTGAAGGCTGGAAAGGCCAGTCCACTGTGAGAAACATAAATCCTCTGCATGTGTATAGTAGTATCGATTAATTACGCAACTCGATATGGGAAGATTTTTGCGTACTTATTCGGGAGTTGCTTACTTAAGCGAAGCGGATCCCTTAATTGAATCAAATTCATAAAAATTTCGTACTGGATTATATTTATTCATAATCCCATATTAGTTCGGGTGAGCAAATAATCATCATTTTAAGATAAGGTATAGGACAAACCTTCGAACAATAATTAATAAACTTTTAAGATCGTCATATATAACTGTTAGATTTTTTTTCTTAGTTTAAAATTGTACAGGTATACCAATAATAAAAATTTTAACTAGCAGGTCTTCAGATGAATTATGATATAAAATTAGATGAATAAATAATAATATAAAAAACCAAAACTTATCTATTAAATAAAATTTGCGATATGATATACATTGAACGACACCAATGTTTCCGATAAAAGTATCTCGTTCGCGAATACCACGTTAGTGAAACAATTGTGAGACAAGCAGGAGAAAATTCTAAAAAGTTATGAATAAATATATGAACCTGAAGAGAATAATTTTTAATGTTGTTGGTTGTTTTATAGAATTCAAAGAAATGCTTTACACTTGAATTTACATCGTAGGTTGCGAAAGGTGATGCTCATGGAAGAGGGACCTGAAGTCAGCACATATGACCTGTGCGTGTTTATTGCGCAAAACGTATACAATATGATCCATTTAGACTAGTTGTTTTGTACTACTACCAAAATATACACCCTAATTCCAGACGAGAAAACATCAACCACAAATTTTTTTCCAAACACAAGAATTTGAAAATTTGCACAAATTAACAATCTGTGATATTTTGAACTAAATAAATCTTGATACCCATTTTCTGAGTAAAATTTTGTAAAATTAACCTGGACGTTACTGTACTGCGGACCACGAACGGATCTCCTTAATTGAGCACTGTTCTCGAACAATAGAAATTGCGCTTTGCAACCCTCTATGCCAACTTGTCTTAATGTGGTCGCCGTCTCCTCTTCCGCGGTCCACCCTTCATTCCCTCCCCATCGGCCGCCTCTTCCCCTGCTCTGCTTGAACGTACACCTTGCATGTAACGACACATTTGTCTAATATACAATATACGTCGGGGCTAGCCCCTCATGTTCATCATATACCAAGATATTCCATTCGGCCCCCCTTCACTGATAAATCGTTCCGGCGCTGTGTAACTCAACGAGTTGTCTGAGGGCTCTGGTGCAAGCCAGGCGGGAGGAGGAGGCGACCGAGGCCGGGTGCTGGAGCTGGGCATGTCGGAAGTTGGAAACGGCTGAAGAAAAACTCTGACGGTCGTCCCGAGCAGAAGCTTGGTGCAGTTGAGTGCTGCGGCAGTAAGGTACGTTGATCTTCCTTGGAGATCCCAGACATGCCGTCGCTGCCGATGCCGCTGATTGGAGTCGAAAGAGGCTGTGCCAAGTGACACTTACAGATCATATGGAATGCATGAAACTCGGTAGCTCGTTATATGCAAATTATCGTCGCATGCGTAGTCTGTTTTCTTAATTTTCTCCAGGCAGTCCAGTCGACGAGGTGCCTCTGTTCAAGTTAGATTGTAACATCCACGGGGAAGAGCGCTGTTTTCGTCATAGTCTCAATCGGGTCGTAATCTTAATTTTAGGGCCTGCATAGACTAATGGATCCAATTCCCTATCCTGATAATTCACAGAGCGTTTAGACCATGTGCCGTCATGTTAAGGACGGGATAAACGGAAGGTTTCCAGCAGCAGACCATTTTCAACGAGAATAGTTTTGACGAAAGTAATCTAGTCTCGTGCTTGGCCATTGTTGAATTACGCGAGCAATTGGACTGTAGAGTCAATCAGCTGGGCAATTACAGTAGGTTTGGATGTCTTTGCAGATCCATCGAACATTGAGCTCCAACATGTGGGGATTGGTGAGTGTGGGTTTAGTCACCACCGGCGTCACTCTAGTGGCAGCACCAGTGGTTGTTCCGGCCCTCGTGAAAACTCTTGGATTCACGAGTGAGGGTATCGCCCCAGGGAGCTGGGCAGCGGGATACATGGCGTCGTATGGAGGATTAGTGGGTGCAGGTAGTACCTGCGCTGTTCTTCAGAGTATTGGAGTGACGGGCACTTTGGCAGGGGCTGGTGTGCTGGCCGCAGTGGGAGTAGCTGCAGCTGGATTGGGAGTCGTCATCGAGCGCGTCCAACCTCAATAGCTCTCATTGCTTCACTGCTTCTAAACGTAATTTGCTTGGGAGAAACGATTGAACTAAGTGGATGATTCCTTCGTGTTTCATAACTCGACCACTATAATCCTTGTATGTTGTCAATTCGCCATTGAGGAGAAACATAACATTCAGTTTTGAACGGATGAGCAGAGGAGTGCTTTAAAACATGAACGTGAATTTCCTTCAAGGAAGCATCGATGCAAATGGCTTAATTATCTGAATGAAACAAAGTATGGCAACTCTTACCCTTCTCTCAATCTCTGTTCAAACAGAATCACATCACATCGCCCACACAGAAATTATGTGGTGACAATATCACACGATGTAAGGTGCGCTAAATGTTTTTGGAAACCTGATTCATTACATGCTTGGAGGGAGAGTCGTCGATGATTAATGGCATGCCTAATAGCACTATTGTCTACTTCACATTGTCTACTGACGGATTCCGGAGTAGCATTTTACGCGTTTGAAAGTTCGCTGTTCAGATCTTATCTAGCGAGAAGCGAAAAGACTACAGGCAGAAATTTTGTTCTGACCAATTTTATGTCGCAAGTCACATATATTTCTATCTCCAGACTGAAGTTCCGTTCTTGAAGAACTAGCATATCCCCGTGGCGCACATGGTGTGATGAAAAGGCCAACGAAGTCATCAGCGTCGCTGGATCAAGAAGGAGGATCAAGAAGGAGGAGTCGAACCTTTTGAGCGCTGCGTAGGAGGGACATCAGCAGTCAGAGTGGACGATAGGGAATTGCAGTCCATTTCTTCCCCCAGTCCTGAATCAACTTTCTACCGTATACCTGCTGTATTGTCACATGACATTTACATATCATGATCATGCTTATAAAGTCATGATCATTACACTAGATTTATCATGGAGATTTTATTATCCCCATCGACTTCATTCCTGAGCATCAGGTGTAGATAGATTAGAGAGATGGTCGACGCAAGGTTTCATTGTAGATCGGATTATATAGATCTGGATGTACGAACCAGACGCTGTGTTCCTAAAGTGACGTCTTGAGGTTCAGGTATGGCTCGGAGCTGTCATAGCGATCTCTAACCTCATTCTCTACCACCTGATGAGTTTTGATGGTTCAACTCTGAGGTCGATCTGCTGACGACAAAAGGTGCGGGTTGTTTTGACATCACATGTTGATGTTGATCTTATGGCCCAGCGAAGCTCTAGCAGCAGACATGAACTTGTGGTGATGAAGTCCGAGGCCGTCGATGATTTGCTCGAGACTGGAAAACCTCGAGTGAAGGAGGCCTGATCATCATGGGCCTCAAGTTCTCCCGCTTTTCGTGGATATTCGCATTTTAGTGCTGAGAGCAAAGAATTTCTCACCTGCTGCCCCGCAGGCAAAGGAACCTGTCCCTCCGTCCGATCTTCGTGGCCATCAAATCGGACTTGCCACCAGTTCACACGATCTCCGTAAGTTTACATGTATGGCTTCATCGACCCAGATGACTTCATCGACGCAGACCGGATCGATAGCTTTCGACGATGTCATGTCCGTTCGCTCGATCATACATTTATCAGTCGCCCATCGAGGTCGAGACCGGAGAACGAAGCGAGGATTAGACTTGCTTGGCGAGTAGACCTGCTCGCGTTTGACTACTCCTTGTGCATCGAGACGATAATTTCACTCGCTGTTTTTACCCGCTATCGTAGAGCACTCCATTTCTGGAGTTTCCGCACATTTTTTCGATCGCTAGACTGCGCGCTTCACTCTCGACGATTCACTTTGAGCGGAGAAAGTCATATCAGTTGTCTTGAAGATTAGCTTCGAGGCATATGTCTATGAACGTTTCACTGTCTGTTGACTCTGTTGATTTCCAGAGAGAGATATTGTCCTCGATAACCATCTCGCTTAGAAACGTCTTTCTGGGGAGATCAGGGCATAAATTTTTACTATCGGAGAATCAGACTTTTTTCTACACAAAAAAGATCACATGTACAGCAGTTGATTGAGCTTACACTATCACAGCACAGAACTCAACTCTCCACCGAAGAGATTGCTCTGCTCTCGTTCTTCCTTCCTACTCTGCCTCGTTGTTCGCCCTCTCAGTTAGAAATCACCATTCGCGATATTAAAACTTGGTTACACATACAGCTTGATGGGTCCCATTAATCTGTATGTGTTTTGAAGGGGTACCATGAAGTAAATCACTCCATTCAATTGTGCAGATGGGTCCCATTAAGCTGTATGTGTTTTGAAGAGGTCCCATCAAGTAAATCACTCAATTCAATTGTCCAGCTGAGGTTTCTATCGTTCACGATTATTGGTATTATTCGACGAACAAAATAATAATGCTGATAATAATAATAAAGTTTTGAGAGGACTCATATCAAACTGAGGATAGAGGTATCGCTTAATTTTTGTTCTTCTTATATCTAACACACTGATTAAATCACAAATATGAAGACTTCATGTTTATCAGCTGGTAAACCCTTCTGGTTAGAAGTTTTGGTGAACTTCAAAATCAGAATAAAAACTATCAAAATGAAAATGAACGATGGATGAATGAATGAAATCGTTCATCCACCGTTTATTTTCATTGAATGCTTAGCCAATCAGTAAATTAGTGTGCTATAAAATTCGAGGCATCTAGTTCTATCTTCCATTGAACAAAATTAAGTTCCAAAAGTAAACGACATTATATTCAACATTACCTGCTGCTGATCATAGTAGAATGATTATTTAACGAGTCAATGGTTCCTTTGTGGGAACAGGTTCCCACAAAGTTCAGGTATTTGTACTAATAAACGAGACAAAAGAGATAAAGTAATACTAGGCGATATAGTATTAGGTTATAATTAGATTAGTACCATACAATTAAAAAGAGATAAAGTAATACTAGACTATGTAGTATTAGGCTAGAATTAGATTAGTACCCTACAATTAGGAGTTAGGTGTCTTGCTTAGTTGATTAAGCTCAGTGAACGAATCACCTCAGCGCCGAAGCCATCTCCTCAAGAAACTTAGTGGAACTTTGACATGTGTCATTCAGCTTAATGACTAGGATGTTTTTTTTTGTACGTTAGTCCAGTAAGAGATTCACGGTGGGGCTCAATGTCGCTCCCTGGCTAAGGTTAGATAGAACTAAGATTTTGTCCGGCAATTAGTTTGGAAGTATCAAAAAGGAAGTTTTAAGAGGTACCTGGAAAATCAGATCTGGAATTTTTAATCTCAACCAAAAAATCACGGGCTTAGTTCCGAGATCTACGGAATTTTCCAGAGAGACTTTGCGGATAAGGATAGGTAGAAAATTAGTATTTAGAGCCAAGCAACTTTGTAATTTGGTATCTTGTTTTCCGTGTGGAGTTCATGTATTTTTGTGACATGATGCAAGGCATGAGTCTAGCGTCAATCTCCATTGTGGTGGAATGTTGTATTTCTTCTACGGTTGAGAACGATAGCAGGAGATTGCCTGAGCTGCTGGAGTTGGATGCAAACAAGAAATACTGGTTCGATTTGGAAGTTTGAAGTAGCTGGAATGACTTGGCTGACTCTGAATCGATAGGCTTACAAGCGAATACGGAAATTAAAAAATCACGAGATTAACTTTTAGATTCAGGTGCAAAGAGTCATGTGACTGGTGACAAAATCACCTTTAGTTTATTTCAATTCATAGTGTCTCATCTTGGAATTTCCAACGTCCATGGAGCTTGTCTAGTTGTTGTTGGCCAAGATACATTGTGTTGATGCACATAAAGAGATAAAGCCTATCCTTTACGTGCCAGATCTTACCAAATACTTTGATATGACTGATCTCAATAACATATATTTATACGGCCGACGAGATCCACACATCAAATTGTACACACTACTACTCAAACTTCACACAATCAATGTGCATTCACTCCGGTCCGCCCTTGAACGAGAAGAAAGGAGAAGAAGAAGCCTGAAAGTAAGTTTGCAGGAGAAACCATCCGACTTGCATACAAACCTCACTTGAGTGAGTCCCGCAGAGAATATTCTGGAGTCAGAGATCACATCTTCAGATGCCACAAATTTATGATACAATTTGTGTCATATTTGAAATCAGACAATCTACTACATGACCTCTAAGCCTTTTGTTCATCGCCTTTCTTTGCTCGCCATCGGTTAAATTCGTCAATATGAAGTATGTGTGTTTGTAAGGAAGAAAACTACACAGCCTTTGAAACTTGTCCATAGCAATTTATGTGGGTTTGTTAAAGCAAGTACTGATTTCAAGTAACTTTTGACTGTCATTGATAATTGTATCTAATTTACTTGGGTTTGGTTTCTTTGCCTAAAAAGTAAAACCTTCCATCATTTTAAGGATTTTGTCTTGCTTGCAAAAAATCTCTACATTCTTGCGGTGTGGCACACCGAGCACAATTGATCACCACGAGTCTTGTCTCTTTAAATTCACCAAGAAAGTGAGTAACTCTTTGAGAATTTTAAAAGCTATTGTCGACAAAAGTAATCTCTCGGCAACTAACTACAACAGCAACTCTCCACCAAAACAACATTTCCGAGAGTAGAAACTAAACTTCATTTGAAGCACCTCGATGTATATTCAATACTTATAATTTTTCCGCTCATCTTTGAATGAAATCTTTGAAAACAATCAATTATGTGCTAAATTGTTGTGCAACCCGTCTATTAAATATGACTACGTCCTATGAAAGATTATATGGCATTCCACCTCACTTAACACAACTCACAGTATTCAGATGCACTGCATATGTGCACATTTTATATGCTAAGCGGACAAAATTGCAGCCCAAAACTAACGTTGGATGCTAGTTGGCTACAATGACTAATTCGAAGCATATAGATGCTGGGCCCGTCAGCTTTTTGCATTGTTACTACCAATGATGCTACATTCTTCGAGCACATACCTGAAAATATTGTTGATGTACACAATTTTGTGGATCTCTTCAGTGATTTTGATGCAGAGTACTATCTTCCACACTTGACAATATCATTAGATGGAGTTGTTACTTCTATGGCAATGTCAGGATGTCTAGCAATCTCACAATATCCAAAACTGAGAAACATAAATCCTTAGCATATGTAGAGTATTCCAATTAAGTTGGCAATTTGATTTGGGAGAATTTTGCGTACTTATCCAGGAGTTGCGTTATTAGTCAAATCATATAACTAAATTAATGAAAATTTTGTATTGGAGTCTAATTATTTATAATCATATATTAGTTCGGACTAGCAAATAATCATTCAAGTTTTACTCTCCTTAACATGAGTCATAGTACAAACCTACCAAAAATAATTAATAAAATTTGAAGATTTTCATATATAACCATAAGATCTTTTTCTCAATCTAAAATTGTACATTTATACCAATTATACAAATACATTATGACACCAAATTAGTTGAATCAATCGTAATATAAACTAAATAACTAAATGGATTCTAGCTACATGATATAAGTTTAACAACACAAATATTTCCAATAAAACGGCTCTAATTGGCGTACAAATGTGCAAGACAAGCAGGAGAAAATTCTAAAAAGATATGAATAAATATATCAACCTAAAGAGAATAGCATTCAATGTTGTTGGTTGTTTTATTGAGTTCAAAGAAATGCTTTACTCTTGAATTTACATGCGTAAGTTGCAAAAGCTGATGCTTATCGAAGAGGGAGCTGAAGTCCACACATACGACAGAAGAGGGACCTGAAGTCCACACATAGTATAGAAGAGGGAACCGATGTCAACAAATATTACATACGAGTTTATTGCCCAATATTATCTGAAAACGTATACAGTATGATCCATATGGACTAGTTGTTTTGTAATACTACCGAAATACACCCGCTAATGCTAGATGAGAAAACATCGACCAATAATTTGTTTCCAAACACAAAAATTTGGAAAACTTGCACAAAATGACAATCTATGATTTTTGAACTGACTAAATCTTAATCCCCAGATTTTGAATAAAATTATACGTAATTATCCGGGGTGGATACTTAACCGGGACGTTACTGTACTGCGGACCACGAACAGATCTCCTTAATTGAGCACTGTTCTCGAAAAATAGAAATTGCTCTTTGCAGCCCTCTATGCCAACTTCTCTCAATGTGGTCGCCGCTTCACCGATAAAACGTTCGGGCGCTGTGCAACTCAAGGAGTTGTCCGAGGGCTCTGGTGCAAGCAAGGGGGGAGGACAACGCGACCGAGGCCGGGTGCTGGAGCTGGGCATGTCGGAAGGTCGTCTCGAGCAGAAGCTTGGTGCATTGAGTGCTGCGGCAGTAAGGTACGTTGATCTTCCTTGGAGATCCCAGACATGCCGTCGCTGCCGATGCCGCTGATTGGAGTCGAAATAGGCTGTGCCAAGTGAGACTTGAAGATCATATGGAATGCATGAAACTCAGTAGCTCGTCGGATGCAAACTATCATCGCATGCGCAGTCTGTTTTCAAAGTTTTATCGAGGCAGTCGAGTCGACAAGGGTGCCTCTGTTAAGGTAAGATTGTAACATCCACGGGGAAGAGCGCTGTTTTCGTCTTAGTCTCAATCGGATCGTGATTTTAATTTTAGGGTCTGCATAGACTGATGGATCCAATTCCCTATCCTGTTAATTTATTAAGTTTTTGGCTATCTCACAAAGCGTGTAGACCATGTGCTGGCATGTTAAGGACGGGATTAACGGAAGGTTTCCAGCAGCAGGCCATTCTCTTCGAGAATAGTCTTGACGAAAGTATTGTAGTCTCGTGCTTGGCCATTCTTGAATTACACGAGCAATTTGACTGTAGAGTCAATCAGCTGGGCAATTACAGTAGGTTTGGATGTCTATGCAGATCCATCGAAAATTGAGCACCAAGATGCGGATATTCGTGAAAAGGGGTTTAGTCACCGCCGGCGCTGGTTTAGTCGCCGCCGGCATTAGTGTAGTGGCAGCACCAGTGGTTGTTCCGGCCGTCGTGACATCTCTTGGATTCACGAGTACGGGTATCGCCGGAGGGAGCTGGGCAGCGGGGTTCATGGCCTCGTATGGAGGACTAGTGGGTGCAGGTAGTACCTGCGCTATTCTCCAGAGTATTGGAGCGACGGGCGCTTTGGCAGGGTCTGGTGTGATGGCCGTAGCGGGAGCAGCTACGACTGCATTGGGAGCAGCAGCGACTGCATTGGGAGTGGCCGTCGGTAAGGCCGGCGTCGAGGAATCAGCGGATGCGGAAACGGCTGCCGAGAACAGTTGCCTCACACCTGCGGAGGCCCTCGGTAAGGCCGGCGTCGAGGAATCTGTAGATGCGGAAACGGCCGCCGAGAACAATTGCCTCACACCTGCCGTGGACGACTGACAAGACGACCGTGCGAGCGTCTCTTATTGCTTCATTGCTTCTAAACGTAGTTTTCTTGAGAGAGAATCTTGAAGTAAGTTGTGGATGATTTCTTCCTGTTTCATAACTCGACCACTGTAATCGTTGTATCTTGTCAATTTGCCATTGAGCAGAAACATAACATTCAGTTTTGAACGGAATGAGCAGACGAGTGCTTTAGAACATAGTGTTTACTCATACGTGTGTTTGTTGCAGAACTGCTGAATACGGACAAGAGTTTGCGAGTTAGCAGCGTCTCACATGCCCTTCCAGACTTGACACGGCCATGAACGACTGTAAATCCTCCATAAGGTTCTGCGCTGAGATGTCGTCTCCTTAAAGATTCTTAGAATTTGGAAATACATTTTGCTTGAAGATAATGGCTTGAAATGTCTTACATCACATTCAATTGTCCAGCTGATGTTTCTATCGTTCACATTTATCGGTATTATGCGACGATCAAAATAATGATGTTGAGACGCTAAAATCAAGTTTTGACAGGACTAATGTCAAACTGAGTATAGACGTATTGGTTCAACTTTGTTCTTCTTATATCTCACACGCTGATTAAATCATATGTCTAAAGACTTATGATTCAAGACTGGACCCGCACACCAAATTGTAGAGACTACTCCCAAGCGTCACATAGTCAACGTGCATGCATCCACTCCGGCAGAAGGAAGGAGAAGAAGGAGCCAGGTAAGAAAATCACAGAAGGAGCCACCCCACTTGTGGGTGTCGCAGAGGATCTTCTTGAGTCAGAGGTCACATATTCCGATGCCACTAATTTAGGGTCAGGCATGCCCTTCCAGATGATGTTGAGACGCTACATTCAAGTTTTGACAGGACTCATATCAAACTGAGGATAGACGTATCGGTTAAACTTTGTTCTTCTTATATCTTACACGCTGATTGAATCACAAGTCTGAAGACTTCGTGTTTATCAGCTGGATATCCCTACTGGTTTAAAAATTTTGGTGAACGTACAAATCAGAATAAACGATGGATGAATTTGTTTATATATTGAACGGTCAGCTAATCAGTAAATTAGTATGTTATACAGTTTCAGGCATCTAGTTCTATCTTCCATTGAACAAAATTAAGTCCCGAACCTAAACGGCCTTATAATCTACTCTATGTGATGCTGATCACAGTGGAAAGATTTTTTAACGACGCAATGGGTCCGAAGCTAGCTGTAAAGCTAGTAAACGGGAAATTTGCTAAACTTATAAAACGAGGCCTTGATCTCGAGATGAAGATGCACTTTAAAAAATATTAGTCAATAATTTATCATTAAAGTGTAGAACCATCCAAAGATCGTTGCATTCATTTTCCGTTAACTTCGAGAGACTACTTCACTACCCTTACATTTTTCGGCAGAAATTACGCTCCTTGACGATCATCCTGAGGATTTTCTCAATATAGTTCGGTCAATTAGCGTCTTTTCCATGGAAAGCTGAGGTCACACGTCGCATTTGCACGGCCTTTGTGCTGAATTTCCGATTCTGTATACGTCACACGTTCTGCTGGCCGTTCACCCAGAATCGGAAGTATCAGGACAACTCCAACCAGCGAGTTGAATGTAAGAAAAATTTCGCAATAAACTGTTATGCTCAGTGAAACAAACAACTTGAAACAATCAGAAGTCATTGTTTCAAGTAGAGGAGCCGAACATCAGTCTCGCTTTTCGGCGGGTCAGACTGAATAGAGTAGATCAATTTCCTACAACTAGACAAATCTGAAAATTCTACTCACGCTAAAACTCTGTTCGGGTTTAAGCAAATGTGGGTGATTTAGAGGATGATGATGCCCAACAACGATGGAATTGTTAGATATGATACCAGGTAGGAGTTTAATTCCGGATCCAAGGAAGTGTACTCAAGTGGTTCTGTATTAGCTGAACTCCCCATGAATTATCGGCAACCCCTTTGAATGGTTAGTTCTGCTATCACCAGTTTTATATTTCCACTAGTTTCCACGAGTGTCTATCACTCTATTATACCATGTCTTCGAATTTTTTAATCTATATGATCAGTTTTTCAAAACTAGATCGGTTGAATATGAACAATCTGCGGTGACAGACATGCAAAATCTCTCCTCCGATTGGAACAAACAGAGCGAAAACGTCAGGATGAAAACTGAGGAAATGAACAAATAGTAACGATGCTCGGACGGTAATCAGACCGGCCCAAACGTCTACCATCTCTATTTGATGTTTGACGATGTTCGGATTACGATAAACTGTACGTGGAGAAAATTGTGCACGTGTCCCCTAGTCTGACAGATGAGGCAGTATTGACGACAGTAACAGCACGGGTCCATTCTCAGACAGGGAGCGATCTATAATCTAGTTCTTCTCGATATTTCCGGGAGGGGAATGTGCAGGAATTACTTTGTAGGTAAAAAAAAATTGGTGAAAATCTAGGTACAGTGGCATCCATAAGATGTCTATCAATATTTTAGAGCTTATTAAGATCATTCTCCTCTTTACTGGAGGTTCTCCCCTTCCAACCAAATTTGGCCTTGTTTTTCCAACAAGGCTGGTCTGTTCGCAACCATATCCATTACTTTTGTATCAAAGGACTTAAAGTGCCACGGAAGTCGTGCCTTGCTTGGAGTCTCACTAGAAAAGGGTTACTTACGAGGAGCCGCTCTCGCTCAAACGGAGGTGCCTCTGCTTTTGCCGAACCGGAGACAAGAACTCTATCGAATTCCCCTCGCCAGCTGGATGGCTATGCATGTACCCAAGTGTTTGCTTTCCAGACGCAGCTTCCCAAATTCGGCGCGGTAGAAGGAGGTATTTACGAATACCGAAGAACTGCACTGACGGCTGGAAAGGCGAGTCGACGGTGAGAAACATAAACCCTCTGCATATGTAAACTAGCATCCGATTAATTACGCAACTTGATATGAGAAGATTTTGCGTACATATCCGGGAGTTACTTACTTAGGCGAAGCAGATCCCTTAATTAAATCTCGAGCATAAGAATCAAACTCTATTTGAACCAACTCGCTGTATTTTCAATACTTATATTTTTCTGCTCATCTTTGGATGGAATTTTTGCGATCAGTGAATTAAATGCTAAATTGTTGTGCAACCCGTGCATTAAATCTAACTATACCCTATGAAAAATTAGATGACTTTTCACCTCACTTAGCACTCCACAGTTTTCGGATGCACTGCATATGTGCACATTTCCCTTATAACCGGACGAAACTTCAGCCCAAGACTAAACGTTGGGTGGTAGTCGGCTAGGATAACGAATTTGAAGCATATAGATGTAGGGACCCGTCAGCTCAGCTCGTTGCATTGTTACTACCAACTACATCTTCCACACTCGACATTATCATTAGAGGGAGTTGTTACTTCATATGGCAATGTTAGGATGTATAGCGATCTCACTATATCCAACGGTGAGAAACATAAACCCTCTGCATATGTATAGTATTCCAATTAAATACGCAATTTGATCCGGTAGTTACTTAGCCGAATCTGATCCCTAAATACATTAAAATTTCGTACTGGAGTATAAATATTTAAAATTATATATTAGTGCGGCCGAGCAAATGATCATCCAAGTTTTACTCTCTTTAACATGAGGCATAGGACAAACCTACCAACAATAATTAATAAATTTTAAAGATTTTCATATATAACTATAAGATCTTTTTCTCAATTTAGAATTGTACAGTTATACCAATTATACAAATATTATCTAGGCAGGCCTCCAGATATATTATAACACCAAATTAGTCGAATCGATTGTAATATAAAAGAAACCAAAACTAAACGACTGAATGGATTCTAGCTACATGATATAAGTTGAGCGACACCAATGCTTAAAAAAACGTCTCTAGCTCGCTTGTAGTAAAAATGTACAAGACAAGCAGAAGAAAATTCGCTTTTTGCACTATCTTTTCTCTTGGAGAGGCGATAACATCTCCCGGCAGGTCGAGCACGTAAAAAGATCTGAATAAATATATGAACCTAAAGAGAATAGCATTCAATGTTGTTGGTTGTTTTATTGAGTTCAAAGAAATGTTTTACACTTGAATTTACATGCGTAAGTTGCAAAAGCTGATGCTTCTCGAAGAGGTACCTGAAGTCCACACATACGACAGAAGAGGGACCCGAAGTCAACACATACTATAGAAGTGGAACGGAAGTCAACACATACGATCGTGCATCACTACAAACTTTAGACGACTTGTTCGTGCTTATTGCCCAACGTTATCTGAAAATGTATACAGTATGATCCATATCGACTTGTTGTTTTGTATTATTACTGAAATATATCGCTAATGCCATATGAGAAAAAATCAACCAAAAATTTGTTCCCGAACACAAGCATTATGAAAAGTTGCACAAAATAACAATCTATGATATTTTCAACTAAATAAATCTTGATCTCCATTTTTTAATTTTACTCAAAAAATGGATGCAATTTTATCCGGGTGCATACTTGACCGGGACGTAGTACAGTCCGTAGTACTGTACTACGGACCACGAACAGATCTCCTTAATTGAACACTGTTCTCGAAAAATACAAATTTCACTTTGCAGCCCTCTATGCCAACTTCTCTCAATGTGGTCGCCGTCTCCTCTTCCGCGGTCCGCCCGTTCATTCCCTCCCCATCAGCACCGTATTCCACTCCTCTGCTTGAACATATACCTTCCATGCAACGACACATTTGTCTAATATAGAATATACGTGGGGCCTAGCCCCTCATTTTCATCATATACCAAGCTATTCCATTCGCCCCCACTTCACCGATAAATCGTTCGGGCGCTGTGTGACTCAAGGAGTTGTCTGAGGGCTCTGGTGCAAGCAAGGCGGGAGGACGACGCGACCGAGGCCGGGTGCTTGAGCTGGGCATGTCGGGAGGTTTAAACGAAGGAAAAGAAACTCGGTCGTCCCGAGCAGAAGCTTGGTGAAGTTGAGTGCTGCGGAATCCTGTGGAGCAGTAAGGTACGTTGATCTTCCTTGGAGATCCCAGACATGCCGTCGCTGCCGATGCCGCTGATTGGAGTCGAAATAGGCTGTGCCAAGTGACACTTACAGATCATATGGAATGCATGAAACTCGGTAGCTCGTTATATGCAAACTATCATCGCATGCGTAGTCTGTTTTCTTAGTTTTCTCCCGGCAGTCCAGTCGACAGGGTGCCTCTGTTCAGGTTAGATTGAAACATTCATGGGGAAGAGCGCTGTTTTCGTCTTAGTCTCAATCGGGTCGTAGACTTGATTCTGGGGTCTGCATAGACTGATGGATCCAATTCCCTATCCTGATCATTCTTGAAGTTTTTGGCTATCTCACAGAGCGTTAAGACCATGTGCCTTCACATTAAAGACGGGATTAACGGAAGGTTTCCAGCAGCAAACCTTTTTATTCGAGAATAGTCTTGACGGAAGTATTGTAGTCTCGTGCTTGGCCATTCTTGAATTACGCGAGGAATTTGACTGTAGAGTCAATCATCTGGGCAATTACAGTAGGTTTGGATGTCTGTGCAGATCCATCGAACATTGAGCACCAACATGTGGGGATTGGTGAGTGTGGGTTTAGTCACCACCGGCGTCAGTCTAGTGGCAGCACCAGTGGTTGTTCCGGCCCTCGTGACAACTCTTGGATTCACGAGTGCGGGTATCGCCGGAGGAAGCTGGGCAGCGGGATTCATGGCGTCGTATGCAGGAGTAGTGGGTGCAGGTAGTACCTGCGCTATTCTCCAGAGTATTGGAGCGACGGGCGCTTTGGCAGGGGCTGGTGTGATGGCCGTAGCGGGAGCAGCTACGACTGCATTTGGAGCAGCTACGACTGCATTGGGAGTGGCCTTCGGGTAAGGCCGGCGGTGACAAATCTGCGGATGCGGAAATGGCCGCCGAGACCCATTGCCTCACACCTGCCGAGAACTGACAAGACGGGCGTGCGAGCGACTCTCATTGCTTCAATGCTTGTAAACGTAGTTTCCTTGGGAGAAAACATAAAAAGAAGTTGTGGATGATTTCTTCGTGTTTCATAACTCGATCACTGTAATCCTTGTATGTTGTCAAATTGCCCTTGAGCAGAAACATAACATTCAGTTTTGAACGGATGAGCAGAAGAGTGCTTTAGAACATGAAAATCTATTTCCGTCAAGGAAGCATCGATGCAAATGGCTCAATTATCTGAATGAAACTAAGTGTGGCAAATCTCACCCTTCTCTCAAACTCTGTTCAAACAGAATCACATCACATCGCCCACAAACAAATCATCTCATGACCACATCACATGCTGTAAGGTGCGCTAAATGTTTTTGGAAACCTGATTCATTTACATGCTTGGAGAGAGAGATAGTCATCGATGACTAATGGCATACCCAATAGCACCTAATCTATACTTGAAATTATCTTCTGACGGATTCCGGAGTAATATTTACGCGTTTGAACGTTCGCTGTTCAGATCTTATTTCGCGAGAAGCGAAAAGACTAGAGGCAGAAATTTTGTTCTGACCAATTTTATGTCGCAGCAAAGTCGACTATATATTTATCTCCAGAGTCAAGTTCCATTCTTGAACAACTAGCATATCCCCGTGGCTCACAGGGTGTGATGAAATGGCCCATGAAGTCAAAAGCGTCGCTGGATCCAGAAGGAGGAGTCAAACTTTTTGAGCGCCACGTAAAGTGCCACGGATTTGTCATTAGAGCGACGTAGAGTGCCACGGAAGTCGTGCCTTGCTTGGAGTCTCGCTAGAAAAGGGCCACTCACGAGGAGCCGCTCTCGCTCAAACGGAGGTGCCTCTGCTTTTGCCGAACCCGAGACTAGAACTCTATCGAATTCCCCTCGCCAGCTGGATGGCTATGCATGTACCCAAGTGTTTGCTTTCCAGACGCAGCTTCCCAAATTCGGCGCGGTAGAAGGAGGTATTTACGAATACCGAAGAACTGCACTGACGGCTGGAAAGGCGAGTCGACGGTGAAAAACATAAACCCTCTGCATAATTATAGTAGCATCCGATTAATTACGCAACTTGATATGAGAAGATTTTGCGTACGTATCCGGGAGTTGCTTTCTTAGGCGAAGCAGATCCCTTAATTGAATCTCGAGCAGAAGAATCAAACTCTATTTGAACGAGCTCGATGTATTTTCAATACTTTATCGTCCTTGGAAGGTTTACTATTGAAATAATTTCGAACATATTCTGAATCGAGACGCCCTTGAAAAACTATCCAAAGAGTTGAGAAGGCAGGCATATGACCCAAAACCGGCCAAACGGATAATTATTACTGAACCAGATGGCGGTAGTAGTATCCCTAATGTAGGGATACATATGAATACGGGCGTGTGCCGTTGTAGCCCCGAGCGGCTATTTTAATAAGTTTCGGCTCATCTTTGGATTGAATCTTTGTGATCAGTCAATTATGTGTTAAATTGTTGGGAAAGCCGTGCATTAAATCTAACTATGCACTCTGAAAGATTATATGGCTTTCCACCTGACTTAGCACTCCACAGTATTCAGATGCACTGCATATGTGCGCATTTCCCTTGATAAGCGGACGAAACTTCAGCCCAAGACTAAACGATGGGTGCTACTCGGTTATGATGAAGAATTCAAAGCATATAGATTTTGGGAACCGATAACTCGTTGCATTGTTACTACTAACGATGTTACATTCTTTGAATACATCCCCGGAAATTTTTTTGATGCCCACGATTTTGTGGATCTCTTTAGTGACTTTGAAGACCATCTTCCACACCCGACATTATCATTAGAGGGAGTTGTTACTTCATATGGAAAAGTTAGAATGTCTAGCGATCTCACAATATCCAACGGTGAGAAACATAAACCCTCTGCATATGTATAGTATTCCAATTAAGTATGCAATTTGATCTGGGAGGATTTTGCATACTTATTCGGGAGTTGCGTACTTAGCCAAATCAGATGCCTAAATTCATTAAAATTTAGTAGTGGAATATAAATATTTGTGATCCTATATTAGTTCGGGCGAGCAAATGATCATCCGAGTTTTATTCTCTTTAACATGAGGCATAAGACAAACCTACCAACAATAATTAATAAATTTTGAAGATTTTCATATATAACTATAAGATTTTTTTCTCAATTTAAAATTTTACAGTTATACCAATTATACAGATATTATTTAGTCAGGCCTCCAGATATATATGACACAAAATTAAGCGAATCAATTGTAATATAAAAGAAACCAAAACTAAACAACTAAATGGATACAGGTTCTACTCATGATATAAGTTGTATCTAGTTACATGATATAAGTTGAATGACACTAATGCTTCCAATAAAACGGCTCTAGTTCAAGTTCGAGACAAATAGGAGAAAATTCTAAAAAGATCTGAATGAATATATGAACCTAAAGAGAATAAACTTCAATGTTGTTGGTTGATTTACTGAGTTCAAAGAAATGCTTTACACTTGAATTTACTTGCGTACGTTGCAAAAGCTGATGCTTATCGAAGATATGGCCTGAGGTAGAGCACTCAATGGGCTAGGGTGGCCCAAAACTTGACCAACCCCAAGGAAACTCCGAATGCAGGCCATTGAGTTTGTACAGACAGACTTTGGGCGCTAAGGTCCAAAGTCAAGAGGGAAACCGCCCGGATCGTACGCTAAGGGACCTGAAGTCCACACATACGACAGAAGAGGGACCTGAAGTCAGGACATACTATAGAAGAGGGGTCTGAAGTCAACATCGTGCATCACTACAAACTTTAGACGACCGGTACGTGTTTATTGCCCAACATTATCTGAAAATGTAAACAATATGATCCATATGGACTAGTTGTTTTGTACTACTACCAAAATACACCCTCTATGAGAAAACATCAACCAAAAATTTGTATCCAAACACAAGAATTTTGAAAACTTGCAGGTCTCTGATCTTTGGAACTAAATAAATCTTGATCCCCATTTTTTGAGTAAAATTAAACGTAATTATCCGGGGTGCATACTTCACCGGGACTTTACTGTACTGCGGACCACGAACAGATCTCTTTAATTTAGCAATGTTCTCGAGAAGTGGAAATTGGGCTTGCGGCCCTTTATGCCAACTTGTCTCAATGTGGTCGCCGTCTCCTCTTCCGCGGTCCGCCCCTTCATTCCCTCCCCATCGGCACCGTCTTCCCCTCCTCTGCTTAATCGTACACCTTGCATGTAACGACACATTTGTCTAATATACAATATACGTCGGGGCTAGCCCCTCATATTCATCATATACCAAGATATTCCATTCGCCCCCCTCCCCACCCCCTCCCTTCACCGATAAAACGTTCGGGCTCTGTGTGACTCAAGGAGTTGTCTGAGGGCTCTGGTGCAAGCAAGGCGGGAGGACGACGCGAACGAGACCGGGTGCTGGAGCTGGGCATGTCGGAAGGTGGAAACGGCGAAAAAGAAACTCTGACGATCGTCCCGAGCAGAAGCTTGGTTCATTGAGTGCTGCGGAATCCTGTGGAGCAGTAAGGTACGTTGATCTTCCTTGGAGATCCCAAACATGCCGTCGCTGCCGATGCCGCTGATTGGACTCGAAATAGGCTGTGCCAAGTGAGACTAACAGATCATATGGAATGTATGAAACTCGGTAGCTCGTCGGATGCAAACTATCATCGCATGCGCAGTCTGTTTTCAAAGTTTTATCGAGGCAGTCGAGTCGACAGGGTGCCTCTGTTCAGGTTAGATTGTAACATCCACGGGGAAGAGCGCTGTTTTCGTCTTAGTCTCAATCGGGTAGTGATCTTAATTTTGGGGTCTGCATAGACTGATGGATCCAATTCCCTATCCTGATCATTCTTGAAGTTTTTGGCTATCTCACAAAGCGTGTAGACCATGTGCCGGCATGTTAAGGACGGGATTAACGGAAGGTTTCCAGCAGCAGACCATTTTCTTCGAGAATAGTCTTGACGAAAGTATTCTAGTCTCGTGCTTGGCCATTCTTGAATTACACGAGCAATTGGACTGTAGAGTCAATCAGCTGGGCAATTACAGTAGGTTTGAATGTCTTTGCAGATCCATCGAACATTGAGCACCAACATGTGGGAATTCGTGAAACCGGGTTTAGTCGCCACCGGCGTCACTCTAGTGGCAGCACCAGTGGTTGTTCCGGCCGTCGTGACATCTCTTGGATTCACGAGTGCGGGTATCGCCGCAGGGAGCTGGGCAGCGGGGTTCATGGCCTCGTACGGAGGAGCAGCGAGTGCAGGTAGTACCTGCGCTATTCTCCAGAGTATTGGAGCGACGGGCGCTTTGGCAGGTTCTGGTGTGATGGCCGCAGTGGGAGCAGGTGCGACTGGATTGGGAGTGGCCTCGTACGGAGGAGTAGCGAGGGCTATTGGAGCGACGGGCAGTTTGGCAGGGTCTGGTGTGATGGCCGTAGTGGGAGCGACGGGCACTGTGGCAGGGTCTGGCGTGAAGGCCGTAGTGGGAGCAGCCTCAACTGGATTGGGAGCGGTCCTCGGGCGCGTCCAACGCTCTAAGCTCTAATTGCTTCTGAACGTAGTTTGCTTGGGAGAACACATTCAGAATGCTGATACGTAAGAAAGTTGATGCAGGATTGGGGGAAGAAATGGACTGCAAGTCCCCATCGTCCACGCTGACTGCTGATGCCCGTCTTACGCAACGCTCGAAAGGTTCCACTCCTTCTTGATCCAGCGAAGCTTATGACTTTGTGGAACAAGAGCAGGACTAATCGCTCAGCGTAGTTATTTCTCCGTGCCTCAGCATTCACTGTCTGAAGTTCTCCACTGGTCAGACTGTCTTCGTGTTCCCTATTTTCATGTATATTCCCATTTTAGTGCCGAGGGTCAAGAATTTCTCACCTGCTACCCTGCTGGCAAGCGGACCTCTTTCCCTCCGTCCGATCTTCATGGCCATCAAATCGGACATGCCAGCAATTCACACGATCTTGGGAAGTTTACTCCTACATGTCTCTTGCAGAACTCCTGAATACGGACAAGAGTTTGCGAGTTATCAGCGTCTCATATGCCCTTCCAGACTTTACACGGCCATGAACGACTGTAAATCCTCCATGAGCTTCTGCGCTGTGATGTCGTCTCATTGTAACATTCTTAGAATTTGGAAATGAATTTTGCTTTAAGATTATGACTAAGACGTCTTACACTACATTCAATGTCTAGCTGATGTTTCTATCGTTCACATTTATCGGAATTATGCGACGATCAAAATAAGAATATTGCGATGCTGAATTCAACTTTTGACAGGATACATGGCAAACTGACGACAGACGTATCGGTTAAACACACTGATTAAATCATAAGTCCTCAGACTTCGTTTGTATCAGCTGATAATCCCTTCTGGTTAGAATTGTTGTGAACTTAAAAGTCAGAAAAGCAAAACCCATCCATTGAATGGAAGGGTTAAACTCTAAACTCTAAACTCACTTATCCTTCGTTCATATTCATAGAACTGTTAGCTAATCAGTAAATCAGTGCGTTGTAAAGTTCCAGTCATCTCGTTCTATCTTCCCTTGAATGAAATGAAGTTCCAGAACTAAACGACCTTATATCCTACTCTACGTGATCATAGCAGAAAGAGTTTTTAACGACGCGATGGATCCCAAACTAGCCTTAGAGCTAGTTAACGGGAAACTTATAAAACGAGGCATTGATCTTGAGATGAAGATCCAATTTAGAACATATTATTAAAGCTTTTCACCATCCAAAGATATTTGTAGTAATTATCCTATAACTTCGAGAGTACACTTCATTGCTCTTGCATGTCTCGGCAGAGCCATAGATTGCTTTTCAAAGACATTTCAGCATCGCTGGATGTAAGCGTTTTAAAAGATCTTGATGTGAATTCTCTTGTTGTCAACCTCAAAGCCAAGGAGTCCATAGGTGGAATAGCAAGGCTCATCCAGGAAAATGTTGGGATATTTTCTGTAAATATCATCTACCTATTTTGTGGATCTGGCAAATAAGATTTTACTAATTTGATGATACTCCTAGCTCGCTTTTGTACTCAAGAGATTAATCATGTTTAAGTTTCTTTTGTGTTTATATGCAACCATATTGTAGTAATATGTTAAAAATGTATAATAATATATAAAAAAAATTCAATGGGTGTTTTTGTTTTCCGTGCTTGAGTATCACTTAGTTAGAATGTGAAGCAAACGTTTTCATACTCTACGCAAACACTTCTGTAGAGTACTCTCTCCTGGCATAGGATTTCAGTTGTCTACCTACATTACCTTGGAGGTATGTCCCTCCATCTTGATGATTGCTTCGCTATCACCAACAATATCTACTCAAGTTGTTATAATTAGACTCTCGTTCGGGGTTAACTTAGGTGATGTGTGACCCATTCTATCCAGAGATTGATTGTCCACAAACTTGTTGATCATCAACATCTCTATAATTAATAGAGATTTTTTCTGTGTTTCAAATATAGTTATGTATGCAACGCTAGTATTAACACCTAGCAATTGCATCCGCATCCAATTGCAGGTCGCAAAAACTAAACAATGATGCTACAAAAAGCTTGTGTTTCACAGTTGAAAGAATTGTTTGTTGTTGTGCAACTAAAACAGTGACTTGTGCACATTTTGTTTTTGTAGACACTCTAGTAATGGTTTTTTTTTTGTTGTATGTGAACCTTGTGATGAAATAGACGTCGTGTAATTTTTCTTCACCAAAAATATATGCTTTTGGGTTGTAATGAGAGGTATGAATAATTGAAAATTGATGGCATGAGCTCCTCTAGACCTGCTAACATGCTTAAACTATGATCTTTGGGCTGATTATCACTCATGTTTAACTTAGATGTCTTTTTGATAGTTTATTATGGTTCTAGAAGGTAAGTATTATTCAATGTGTCCGCGTCCCAACCATTTCTTTTACTCATGACACCAATCAATCACACATTGATATTTCAAAAAATAATGTTACTCATTATTTTGTTTTGTTTTAATAATTTATAATAATGAAACAAAATTTCATACATTAAACTCTCAAAACTTGCTTTAGAGTAATTTTTTAACTCTTTATTTAAACTAATTGAGAAATTACTATTATAAAAAATGATTTTTATTATGTAATTTAATTTTACAAATATAAATTATGGTAGATTTGTTAATTTTCAATACGTGTCAACATGTTATTGGTCTATCCAAATCTTTAAAAATTTTCTAATTCCTATATTAATATGGCAATACTTTATTTGAAACTTTGAACCTTCTATATATTTCACTTGACACTAAGTCAACTTTAGAGTTAGTCTAATCAATAAAGTTTTATTACTTAAACAAACCAATCAAAACTCTTGAAATCCAGAAATTGAAACTCTTGATTATTTGTGAAAGACAGAGTAGTAATGCTCATTGTAAATTTTTAGAGTAACCATAATCATTTTTCCCATTAAAATATAATAGCTAAACCTAATCATAACTACAATACTAGATAAACTTAGTCATAACTAGCTAAATTTAGTTCTAATTAAGATCATCACGATCAACTCCTTGACTAATTCTAATAACTATTTCACACATAGAAATCGGTTTTAGAGTATTAGAGGCTAAATAATTAATTTATACCACTCTCTTGATGATGCTAACTCGTGGAGCAGCACTAGCATGATGAAAAACGGTCCAAAAAAATAAAAGAAATCTACAGTAATACTAGATTGTGGGGTAGTTAGCTTCAAGCAATCTCCAACCATGGCATCAAGTGGCAAAACATAGAAAATGCAAGTGAGCTGACTCATTGTGTAATTGTAACACTAGTATTTAGTGCAAAACTCATTTGAAGATAAGACATAAACTCTAAGATGAAATAACTAGAATAGTTTTTCTTATCCTCATATAGATACTTTAATCACATATACAAAGATAAGATCTTCTCCCCACCATCCAATAATCTCATAGTGGATTGTTGACATGGTGGATATTTCTAATGAGCACACTGATTGCTTAAATGTCACTTTAAACTAACACATTAACTAGCACACTCAATCCTTATCTAACAAGCACATGGATCGATGAAATGTTGTTTTCAACTAAACACATGAATTGTTTACATGACATGATAGATATTCCACTATCATCCATTCTACTCAATCTTCTGTAAACAAAGTGATAATTAAATAAAGATGGTTACAAGAATATAGCGTAGTGGTATGCACGTGTTACGCTCATTGTGTCTCCTTGCTAGTCAGTGAAGCAAGTTGGGCACGTAATGTCTTAATCTAAGTTTTCATCGTTTAGACCTACAATGTTTGCGCTTGAAAATATTTCTCTTTGCTTGCTTGTTTGTAAAAAACAAACTAACAACTTTTGTGTGAACACTGTAATAACCCACCAAAGGCTAAAACTGCAGTATGGTGGTAAAAAGATCGAACCCACAGGGACAGAGGCAACACGCAGAGTAAAAGTGTCACGTTTAACAGACTTTTGTAGAGTTTGAATTCTAGGCGACTGTCACTCCCAGAAATACTGCAGTGCTCGACTCGGAGGCTCGACTCGGAGGAGGATCTCGACTCGGAGGATGCTCGGAGGATGCACAGTACAGCGTGGTCACTCAACACACACACACACACACACCTGAAACTGGCAAAAGCACAACTCAGAGGTCGGTCAGGACCTCCGCTTCGGATTTCAGGAGGAAAGTGTCTCAAAAGTTCACTCAGAGGTTCTGCAGGTAGTGACTCCCACTCCGGCTTTTACTGCCCTTCCGCCAGGAACTAGCGTAGGGTACCCGGACTAGACTTCCCACTTCGGAACGAAGCCTCTTCATACGCCGTGGACGTCACCCTCGACTCACACCAAACGCAGGGAGTGCAGGCCCGACTGAGAACTTAACTGAGACACAATCCAGTAACACACACACACAACCTGAATTGCAAACCAAGGCTTACACGAAGTAATAAAACTTCACTTTGGCATTCAGGGGAAACTTCCCGTAGGGGTACAATCAGGATATGTCACTCGAAGGAGTAAGGGGGAACTGTTCAAGTCTCTAACTCGCAGCCGGCTCTGAGCATCAGAAATCACCCGCAGGTGCAGATCCGCACTACTCAAGTCTCTAACCGGTGCTAGCTCTGAACATTCAGCCGAAGGCCTTCAACTACAACATACGGTAACTTCGCTATGCTGCAGCTTCTCTACGTGGTGCCAGGACCAAAATGCACAAACACGCCAAGAAAGTGAGTTCCTGATCTGCACTTCCGAAACTGGAAGAGTCAAAAGGCAAAACGCCTTGAACTACTTTATACCTTCTAAGGTCCTAACTAACACTACACTACCCGCTAGGGTGCGAGCCGCAACAGATCCTACACTTGAGGAGTCGGCGGCTGCCTTCCCCTCTAACTTACAACCTAAATCTAACCCTAACCCTAAATCTAAATCCTAAGCCTACTGTACAGAGCCGCCAGCGTCTTTACATCCGAGATCTGAGGCTGAATATTTGCAGGCATGCGTGGCCGACTGAGATCAACGGCCTCACCAAATTTCAGATCCATCCGACCGTCCATTACAAAGATATGGACTCCGCAAGATCTCTGAACCGCATCCGGTTTGCCGACTCCGAGTTTGCCGACATGAAGTTCGCCGACCTCGAGTTCGCCGACCTCAAGTTCGCCGACTCCGAGTTCTCCGACCTCGAGTTCGCCGAAGGCGTTGCCCGCCGAAGACGTACTTCCGCACCTTTGCCTATTTGTAACAGTCACTTCCGACACCCATAACTCACAGATCCTTGATCCGTTTCAAGAGTTCTTGGGCTCGTTGGAACGAGCGCGTTGAGCTCTTTCTAACGAGACCCTAACTGAGTCAAACCGTTACGAGTTGAAAGAGTTATGCCGGTTTTATCCTTCGCCGAAGGCACACTGTCGAAGGCTTGTTATCTGTTATCGCCGAAGGCGCACGCACGATGTTTCGCCGACTCCAAGTTCTCCGACCTCGAGTTCTCCGACTTGAAGTTCGCCGACCTCGAGTTCGCCGACCCCGAGTTCGATGTTTCGCCGACTCCGAGTTCGCCCACTTGAGGTTATTTGACCTCGAGTTCGCCGACCTCAAGTTTGCCGACTCCGAGTTCGCCGACTTGAGGTTCTTTGACCTCGAGTTCGCCAACCTCAAGTTTGCCGACTCCGAGTTTGCTGACTTGAAGTTGAC